GAGAGAGAGAGAGAAGAAGAGAGCGTAAAAACAAAAAAGGATTTCGAGTGCCGAAGAATGATGACGAACGAGTTGTCCGTGACGCACACACACACACACACACACACACACACCTCACAACAAAAAACGGAGTTTGTGGTGCGGCATTGCTGATACACTGCAAATACACCCAAAAAGACTCTGCTGTTCTTCCTTCACAGAATCTCGAGCTTCCGGCGACTCGGATCTTTCAGGTAGCGCGGCGCGTACTTGAGAAAGAGATCTTGCAATTCGTTGAAGTACACCTCCTGCGCCGCTATCAACACTGCCCGCTCCTTGTCGCGGTCATAGTAGTTCGCTGGGTCAGTGTACATGCGCTGCAAGTCAGGCGGGAGCTCAAAATAAATCGGACGCCCGACAACGGTGGCGCCGGTGACGCGGTGCGGGATGATGTTGCGCACTACGGGCAGCGAGATGCCGAACGTTTCTTGGAAAAGACGCTGGACGACTTGGATAAGACGCGGCACCCGACCAGCCGCGGGTGACGAACGCGTTGCCGACTCGTGCGCTGCGGCTGAGGGGGGAGGAGACGGGGGAGTCGAAGGAGTAGAAGGAACAGCGGCGGTGGTGGGCGACGCACCGGTCGGCTGTTCCTTCGACCTCTGCAGCTCCGCTGGCAGCGGTGGTGCTGGCGATCGAGGAAGGCGCCCTTCGCGATCGCGTGCGTCCTCCTCATCGCGAAGCAGCCGCCTCTCCAGCGTTCTCATGCGGCTCTGCTGCGTTTCTCTCTGCGCGGAAGTGGGGGTGGGGGAGGGAGTTGGGGAGAGGGGGAACGCGTCGTGCCGAGTCGATGGAGGGGAACGGTGGTCGCTAGAATTTGCCACGTCCTCCGCATCCGTGCGACTGGAAACGACGTTGCCGTGGTGGCTGGCCGACGTGCTGCGATGTGGCTGTGGTGGGACGCTATCTGTCCCGTTGTGCGTAGCCGCAGGCATAGACGTACTCCCTGCTGCTTGGGGCGCAGACTCCTCGTGTGAGAAGAACGTGGAGTCGTCGTCAAGCGGGGCGGCGTAGCGCGTGGTGGCAGTGCTGAACTGGTCAAAGTAGTCCGTTTCGCCGAAGGTGTACACCGGCACCAGCCCACTTCGTGTGTGCAGGACGAGTCGCAAAAAGCCTTTGCGTCTGCGCAGCAGCACTCTGGCGGGGCCGTGGCTGGACGAGAGGAGCGCCTCCGAGGCCCCACCCGGAAACAACATGAGATGGTTCAGATCGTCTGGCAACGTGCTCTCGTCGTCGTCGTCGTCCTCGCCTTCTTCTCCCCCGCTGTCTCCATGCGCATGCGTGGGCGGCGCACAGGCCATTCCTTCCCGCTCACGGCGCGTGCTGTTGTTGTACAGCAGCACGCGCTTGCACGTCTCGTACGAGGCATCCATGTATCCGTAAAACATGTAGATCTCCCGCATAATCGGAACGTAAAAGGGAAAGGTCGCGACCACGGCACGTATGCGAATTGTCAGTCGGCGACGGCGCGACGATGCAGCTCCGCCTGCGCCAGGTGCCCTCTGCTTTGTGGCGTCCTTCTCTTCTGCGGCTTGAAGACGCTGCTGATAGACTACCGCATCGGCGGCACTCGCCGGCACCGCCTCGTCCTTGTCAAGACGAAGCACGAACCGTTTCGACACGACGTCGTAGACGTAATATCGGCCTTTAGCGTAGCTTGTGGTGGTCGAGTTCGAGGCGTTCCGCGGCGAAGCGGAGTTCGCATTCCGTTGTCGCGATTCCGTTGGTGACGGGCGCGTCGCCGTGGCGCGGGCGTCGCTCGTTGTGAACGTGTTCGCCGTGCGCAAACGCACACACGTTGGAGAGGAGACGCCGCTCGACGCTGACGTCAACGCGATCGAACTCATTTCTTGGCTGGACGTGGACGCCCCGGTGTCGGCGCACGCGGGGTGCACGACGGCCTCGCGGTTGTCCACAAACAGCTTCGCGTTGCGCTGTGTGACGTTGCTGATCAGATTCACACAACAGCACCACGGAATGATGCCGTGCGGGTGAGCTGCAAAGAAGTACTGAGCGCGACGCATTGGTGGTGGGGGAGGTGGAGGTGAGGGAGGCGCGGACAACGCCTTTGTCAGTTCCGCAGACGAGAAGGACTCCGACGGCCCTCTTGTTGGCACGGCATCCGCGTCCGCGAGCCCGGTGAGATCGTCAGCGGGGGGCGGCTGCGTTGGCCCTGCCCCGTCCGCATCGCTACGACGGCGCAGAAGCCCGCGCTCCTCCGCATCCCAGTCATCCCCGCCGCTGACCTCTTCGTTTTCTTCCTCTGTAGCTTTTGATGACAGGAAAGCCTTCTGCTTCTTGCCTGGTAGACCACCGTGACGTCCGTTGACGTTGGCGGCGGTGCAAGCAGTGGGCAGTACAGGGGCAACGATGGAAGACGACGACGGCAGCAACGGCGGCATGTCGAGGGGCGTGTTTTCTCCCGTGTTGTTGGTGCTGCTGCGGACGGCGACAAAAAATGGGTTGTGCCGCGCACTCGCGGTGGCGGCGGCGAAGTGATGTGACGGTGTGCCGGCCGCACCACCTTCCCCGCCAGAAGAAGAGCGTGCAGCGTCCGTCTTCGAGTTCGAGTTCTCGTGGGAGAGGAACGGCTCTTCTTGTCCGTCGGGGAAGAGAAACAGCGGCAGAGGCCCGTACGCCGGCACGAGCTGCAGCGAGAAGTACCGCTTCCACAGGTAGCATTGGCAGTTCACATACCTTCGATAAAGGCGAAATTTGCACCAGTTCACGAGTCGGTTCCAACGTGTGTCGTTGTGCCGCTTCAGACCCACGTCCTTGTCCCGGTGATCCAAGTAGACAAAGAAAGCGTAGTAGAGAAACACAAGAAGCCACGCACCGAGGAGCGCCACAACCGGTCCGGCGCACAACGCAGCTTGAAGTTGCGGGTTCGTGCCGTCTTTGCTGGCTCCACGCAGGTAGCAGTAGAGGCGCAGCAGGTACGGCGGCCGCACACCCCGCAGCTTCCAGCACGTCGAAACGAATAAAGGAAGCGCAAAGGTGAAGAGAAAAACGAGTCGAATGCTGTCATCCGCGCCGAGCTGCTTCGGGTCCCACGCAGAGGCGACATCTGAACCCGTCGACGCCGTCACGCCCTCCCGCTCCGCCGCTGCCACCTCCGCCGCGTCGCCGCCGCGCTGCTGAATGAGCTTCACGTTACGCCTCCGCAACAGAGCGCTGCGGCGCGCCTGCAAAAACACTCGACTGCTCTGACTGTGCGGCGACAGTGCCTCTGCCAACGAGACGCCGCCGCTGTCGCCCTGCGTGCTCTGCAACTCTGGGCTTTCCAGCTCCGTCAGAGGATTCACGACGCGCAATAAAGGCGGCCGCTTTGCATCTTGTAGCGCGATGACTGAGGCGTCTTCCTCTCCTTTGCGCTCGCCGTGCGTGGCGGACACCGCACCGCCACGCAGAACCGCACCATTGCGTAGAAAGGATAGCAAAGGGAGAACCACAAAAGCAACGAAGAGGCCGATGTAGAAGCAAACGTGCATCGCGCCACGTTATGAGAAGTATTATTTTGAGGAAGAGAGATTTTTTCTCTCTGTCTTCGGCATCAGCGGCAGCAGCGACAAAGCAACCGTGGTAGAGTAATTCATTGAAGGACGGAGGGAGTGGATGCACGCAATGTATGTATAGAGTAAGACGCGTCCGGGCACCTATCACATAATAAGCAAAAAAACGCTTCGCCAAACACACGAAGCAACCAACAAACGACAGCAGCTGTGTCCGTCAATGACGAAGGGTTTGGAGGTGTTCACACCGAGCGACACGACTGAGCTGTCGGCCCCACCCATTCACATCGTCCAAAAATAAACAAAAAACAAGAATAATCAACAGCAACAAGAGGAAAGAAAGAAGTACGTGAAGTGGTGTAACTCATGCGGGAGAGGGAGAGAGACGCAAAGGTAAATATACCTACCGCCGATGCTCGAACTCGGTTACTTGAATTCGATGCGAGAGTGAACCCCACAAGCGAAAAAAACTCGCTGCTGAGAAAAATCGGCAAGCGGCCCCAACTGGATTGCTGAAAGATAAAAAGGAAAGTGGCAGGACCGCGTTGCCATACGTTGGTACTCTCTCGAGCCCGATTGAACAGGTCACTCCGTTTTTTTCTTTTCCTTCTTTACTGCTCCTCGTGTATACGTAGACCAGCACAGCAGAGTGAAAGGCACTCAAGCACGCTCAAAGGCATGCACATCAGCCAAACACCTGCCCGCGAACCGCACACAGAGGTCTTACCACGTATATGCACCGCATCGTTCGCATTGTATACTGCGGCGAGAAACACAATAGGCAACAGGAAAAGCCCGAGTGCCAACTCCATTAAAGCGGAAATGAATATATATATATATTGAATTACAGAAAAATAATAGTAATAATAATACGAGAATGACAACGGTTTCGCTTGCTGTGATAGAAGTAAGAGAATCCTTAATATATATATGTGTGTGTGAATGGGAACAGCTTATTTAAAAAAAGTCCTTTGACGTGTCCATCTCACAGAGAGCGACAGAGAAGGTCGCTGTATACAACACGGAAGTGGAGACAAGGACGGACGAAAGTGTGAAAGAAGAAAGGCGGAGAGCAAAAGTAGATTCGATCAAGGGGGCAGGGAGGCGGAGTTGACTGCTTTATCAGAAGTGGAAAAAAAGAAGAAGAAAGGAAAACAGGCTACGGTAGGACGAAAAACAAAGTACCAGTGTTAAGAAGACTTGACAACGGTGGCGTGCACGCTCCGTGAGTGTACAACACGCGACACGCACCGTACCACAATTAGGCATACCACACAGGCACACACATTTCAGCGCACGCACACTCCACAAGACGCAAATGCAAACATTCACACACCTCTACGCTCGACGAGAAATAAGGATGTGTTGATTTGCTTTCTAAACATCAAAAAAAGGTTGTGGTACGCAGCCCGGTAATGCTGCATCTGCGTCGACACAAACGTGACCGTGTGCCGGTGCGGAATTGTGCTGCCACTAAGCGTAAGATTGTAAGAGTTCCGAAGCGAAATAAAAAAGGACTCTCGTGTGGAGACGGTAAAGAGAAAACGAAGAGGGCGGAGGAGAGGACAAGTCGTGAACGAGCGACCACAGCCTTGTCCAGGGTAGTGAAGAACAACGGCTTGGTGCCACACAGACACGGCCATTTTTCCTTTTAATCCTCGTTGCGCAGGTAACGGCGCTCCAGGTGTGCGCGGAAGTACTTGGTGGTCAGCGGCTCGCCGGTTGCCTTCACCACGACATCCATCATCGTCGGATACATGCAGCCCACGCTCCACACCTTCTCCCGCTGCTTCTCAAGGATGGGTGTCATGTCGCCGGTGCGGATGCACTTGTCCACGGTGTCCTCGCCGATCTCCTTCTTGATGGTGGCCATCAGCTGCGCCGCAAAGATGGACCCGATGGAGTAACCGGGGAAGCCGCCGAAGCCACAGCCGGACCAGTGCGTGTCCTGCAAGACAGCCGATGTCGTCGCGGCCTTCCGTGTCGATGCCGAAGTACTCCTTCACCTTCTCCGCCCACACCTGCGGCACCTGCTCCGGCTCCATCTCGCCGTCGATCAACGCGCGTTCGATCTCGAAACGCATGATCACGTGCATCGGGTAGCACACCTCATCCGCAGCAACACGGATGAAGCCTGGCTTCACCACCTGGTTCAGCTTCCGCACGTTCTCCACCGTGAAGGCGGGCTGGTCGCCGAAGTACTCCCTCAGGTGCGGCGCCATAAATTCCGCAAACGCGCCGGAGCGGCCGATGATGACCTCGCCGAAGCGCGACTGACTCTCGTGAATGCCGGCGGAGCGCGCCATGCACACCGGCTGGCCGAGTTTCTCGCGCGGGCCGCAGCCCGTCTCGTACCGGGAGTGGCCCGTCTCGTGGATCGTCGCAAACACGGACTTCTCGTAGTTGTCCACCGAGTAGTGCGTCGTGATGCGGCTGTCCTCTTTCACCATGCCAGAGAACGGGTGCGGAGCGATGTCGAGGCGGCCCTCCGGATCGTAGCCCCACACCTGCGCGAAGAACTTGCCGACAGCAGCCTGCTTCTCCACTGGAATCGGCGTCTGGAGCGGCACGATGGAGGCGTCGATGTCCTTGCGGTTCTCCTGCACCTCTCGGATCAACTGCGGCAGCCAGGACTTGATGTCGTTGAAAATCTCCTCCAGCGTTTCCACCGTGAGGCCGGGCTCGTTGTGCATCAGCATGGCACCGTACGGCGTCGTGTCTGCCATGTGCAAGGCACGGATGCGGGCCTCCTCACGGCCGATCTCCACCACCTGCTTAAAGTACGGCAGGAACATCTGAAAGTCGTTCGCAATCTTTGCCTTGGCCCACACCCGCTGCGCTGTGTTCGTCACTTTTGCTTTACGCTGCACGAACTCATCAGTGAACATCATCTCCTCCTTCACAATGCGTTGCATCTCGCGGAAGTTGGCGCGTTCCACGTCCGTCATCTCACCCTCTGCAGTCGCCGCCTCTGCGACCATCGCCTGTACCTCTGGCGAGGAGTACATCTGGTGGATGTGGTTCTTGAGCACAGCCATCGCCTCTCCGCGTGCCTCGGTGCCGCAGGGCGGCATCATGACCGCCGCGTCCCAGTTGCCCAGGGAGACAAAGTGCTGAAAGCGATAGGCCTTCTCGAAGACGTCCTCCAATTTCGTGTAGGCCTCCATGATTGGTGCGAGTTTTGTGTACGTGGTACTTTCGCGTTTTCCGTCGCTTGCGAACGAAGATGAAACAGTAAAAGGAAAGAAGTAAAATATCTCGACAGCGGAGTTATTTGAGGACGACGAGGTCAGATTCAAGGTTTGGCGTTTTCACTTTTTAAAAAAGTAAAGACAATTACAGTGGTAGCGATGAAACGTGTTAACTAAGAACAGTCGGCGTAGTTGTGTGTTTCATGCAAATGAATAAGTAATTAGGATGAGTGTTGGAAACGCAGGAATAGAAGGGAAAAGCAAGACAACAGATACGGAGAGAACGGGAAGGAGTTGCACACACGTCCTCTACCAATGAAAGGGGAGTACCAACGCACAGAAAAAAATATGGCGAAGTCGTCCTTGAGGCTAGTAGATTGCGCCTACGCGATACCCATTCAGTGGCAAAAGTTCGCGCTGCCACCACAAAATGCGAAGAGCAAAACGAATGATGCTCTTCCCACAACGTGAAATGGCGGGTTTCGTCTTCTAACACTCACACACGTGTCCCAACGCATTAAGCTTCAAATACTCAGCCAGGCGGCTTCCTCTTGTTTCTCATCGTGGCTGTGTTCGTTTGTTGGTGTGTGCCTGTACATATACATGTAGTCGTTGCAACTACAAAACGAGTAGAAGTAAAATACGTAAAACAAAAATAACAGAAATACCAGCAAGAAAGAAAAAGGAGCAAAAAAGAAAGGAGAGGTGCAAAGCGACCCCCGTGCGGAGAGCTCGAAACGGTTTTGAACAGGGAATGAGGGGGGCGGGGGGAAGGGAAGGAGGGCTTACCTTTCCTTTCCGAGACCACGTACCCGCCCAGACGCGATAGAAGTTGCCCCTCCTGTCAAATAATGGTAATAATAAAGCAAAAGAACACTGGCAACCGAAACACAAAAGAGAACACAAAATGAATGGAGAACCAAAGAAAACAAAAAAATGCGAAAAGAAGTATTGTCTACATCGGACTGCTCTTTCCTCTCCCGCGAAAAGGGACGCGTGAGGAGAGACTGTTGTCAACAACGGGATAAAGGTGAAGAGTTGAAAGAAAAGGTATATAGATGTGAGGAAAGTATTTTCGGGTAACGAGCAGATCCCTGTTACATGCGTGAAGATAGGCGGGGGGGGGGGGTACGGCAACACGCACAAGATAACGACTGACCGTTCCATTCATTCACCTTCAGGCTAGGCTTCCCCTCGTCTGTCAAGAGCACCAGCGTTACCGGCAAACATTAAGAGGGAGGAGAGAAGAAAAAAAATAGCACGACACTCAAACGCCTTAGTGTATATATATATAAGTGTGTGTGTAGTGTGGTGTGTTCGAAAGCGGCTAGTGTCCTTCGTGTGCACTCTCGTTTCAAGACGTTTTTTGTCCTCTGAAGCCGCGCACACGTGCTTTTTGTGTTTCTTGTGTGTGTGTGTGTGTGTGTGCTCCGCAAAACAACCGAGCTGCATCGAAGACGAGTAGGAACTCGGTGTTGTTCTCGGAGGAAGCACAAAGAGCACCGGCGAAGGAGGATAAAGTGGGGTCGCCACGCTCCACTCGGCTGATGTAATCAAACACGAAGCAAATAACCACAATACAAGGAAAAAAGAAACACACGGATAATTTGTTGTACTTCGCACCCATTAACAACGCTCATACTGCAGTTACACGCGCCCACCGCATACCAACGCGCTCTTCCGCCTTCGCCGCTCTCTACGACGGGTAACGCTGTAGGTAGTTGCGCACGCCGCCAAGCAGAATGCCCACCGCGCCTTCCTCCGGGGGGTGGTGATGAATCTTCGAGAACTCGTTGATGTACTCCCGTGCGGCGAGGTCGTCCACATCCGGGCTTTGCGCGGACACAAACACGAAGACGTACCCCGCCTGCTTCGCGTGCGGGGCGACGTCGCTAATGAGTTGGGTGTAGTTCAGCTCCTGGAATGGCTTGTTGACGCTGCCAGGGATATGAAAGTTGGCAAAGTCCTCGGCGGGACGGACGTCTACGACCACCACGGCCCCCTTGCCCGGCGTGTGGAGGAGGGCGTGCAGCTCCTCGGCGGACACCTCGGCCGGGCTGTGCTCCTCGACGCTCTCGACCATCGCCTTCGACAGCTCAAAATTTGCTTTCGTGTGGGGCATCGTGCTATTCGTTATGCTGTGACGTTGTACGTTTGCGTGGGTGCTGTTCGCGTAGGAGTGTTGTCCGTTAAATGGGACCCGATGTGGGGTTCGATCCGTGTTTGGTTGGTAAAGGTTTTCTTTTTTTTTGGAGAGGGAGAAGTCGATAAGGATAACACTGTTCGGGTCAATGCATGCGCAACGAAAGGATGCGGACGTATACGTGTTAAGAGAGCAGACAAGAACAGCAAAAGAAGAACAGAGCCGGGGTTGGAAGTACACTACCCGAAAATCCACCGATGACATCTCGGACAAAACGAAGAAGAGAAGGGCACGCGCACACAGTCAAATACGCCTCACCCATGTTGCCTTCTTCACATCAGCGTCCGCCAGCCGCCTGCGCATGCGGCGGAAGAGGTGACGCAGAGCCGAAGGAGCCTTTAATGCGTCTTTGCAACCCAACAGAAACGTTTGCTTGCCTTTTCTCTTTTCTCTTTTTCTTTTTTTAAGCCCGTTTCACACAACACGTACGTGGGGGGACGCGTGGATCTGGCAAAAAGCGGTGCTCCCCACTACGCTCGATGTGAGGAAAACAAACTGAGTGAAGCACCAAAACGCAAACAAATCAATTAATAGCAACAATCAAACATGAAGAGTGTGGTGAGCCGCGATTCAATAAGTCATTCTTCCATATATTTGCTTTCATCGACCGAACTCCGTCGCCTGCTCCTTCTTCAGCTCCGCCTCCTCCGCCGCATCAAAGTCGTTGTCGACACCAAGAAAGGTCCGCACACCTTCCAGGTCGCGGTCAATCAGGTAGGACGCGAGCTTCGCCGCGGCAAGTTGGAGAAGCTCTTCATAATTCAGCAGCGTCGCCGCCTTCACCATCTGCACCGTGGTGAGCTCATCCCAGTCGGAGATGAAACGGCGGTCCTTCGCGTCGAGGTACTCGACGAGTGGTAGCGTCATGGGACGCGGGATCGAGCGGGTTTTGACGACGTACACGCGATACCGGCCGTCTTCCGCGCCGAAGGCGGACATGCGGAAGCGGTACGACATGTGCCGGCAAACGCGCTCCAAAATATCCCCGGTGAAGTAGGGGAAGTCGAGCTCCACCTCGGCAGGCGGCGGCGGCGCGGCGGGGGACGACGGGTGCAGCGGCACAAAGGACGGCACCTGCGCGGTCGACGTCGACGCCTTCGCGGGGCTGTCGAACTCACGCGTCGGCTGTGGGCCCCACAGGCTTGCTAAAATGTCACCCGTCGGTGCCTCGACTCTGGGGCTCGAGCTGGACGCAGCACCAGCAGCAGTGGAGGATGTGGTGATGGCGGCGTTGGCGCCGCTGCTGGATGGGGTGGCGGCGGCCGCGGGGGCAACAGGAAAGAATTCCATCAAGTCCGGCACCGCCGCTTTCACGCGCACCGCCGAGGCGCTTTGTGAGACGGTGGGGGACGGGGCAGGGTCGTCGAAGAGGTTCTCCAAGTCGTGCACCGTCATGGAGGCGCCGGCGGCTGACAAGTGCGTTGACGGCTCGCCCACCTCGCTCAGAAATACCCCAGCAGCTCCGTCGTTGTTCGAGATGGGACTAGAGGCGAGTTCCTGGCCATCGAGGAGGTCGCGAAGGACATAGGAGGCTTCGGTGGCGACGGCGCGGTTCACACTCACGCGGACGCCGTCGGAGGCGATGAGGATCAGCGTCTGACCTGCACTTGCGTTCACGCTGAACGTTGATGACGAGGGAGAAGAGCGCTGCGCCATGACGCACTAGTATTTTAAACTAGGTTTTTCTTCTCTAGGCGGCAGCCTGTTTCCCTCTCTCTTTCTCACTTTTGTTTTGCGGAGGGAAACAAGTGTAGGCGAAACGATTGTGTACAGAGACAAATACGGTGTGCTAGTGGCACGAAGAGCACGGGTATCTCTTCTGCTGTTGGTGTGGCGAATTCGATACTTTTCTCCCCGCAAAAGTGTCAGCACGAATCCACGTTCCGCAGAAAAGCCGATCCGCCCACGATGCAGACAGAAAAGCAAACGTAATAGTATTGGACGCAGTGACGGAGACAACGCTGCGATGAAAGCCTTCACGAAACAAAGGAGAGACAAGCAGGCCCTGCGCAATAAACCGCGGCAATGAAACACTCTCTGTGTTCTCTGAAATCCAAGCAACCACCTGGACCAGTTCCCTGGTTTAGGATTTGCACACTACGCTCCAGAAAAAAAAAACCCACAAGCTGATCTCGCTTCTCGGCTGCGAACGGCGGACAGCATCGGCTTTCCTCACATATTTTTCTTCTTTTTAAGTACCACCGTTGTTCTCCGATACGTTGGGTGGCTTTAGGAAACGAAGTTCTTTGGACACTCTTCTGTGTCGGCATTTACAAGAAAAGAAGGGGCACACACCACTCAACGACAGAAAAGGCGTGAGGGCTCTGCGTAGCGGCGCCGGTGAATTACATTAATGCACGCACAACACCACCAGAAAGAAAAAAGAAGGCGTCACACAACGACGGTGAAGTTAACAAACAACCAAACAGAGCCACCACATATCGTCGCCGTCCCTAGGGCTCGTGGCCGTGAATGACAGCCGCACGATGCCCTCACAAACAGACAAGCGTAATGTGCAGAGGGAGGGATGTGTGGCACGTCAGACCACTGAGTCCGTTTGAAGAAGGCAAACGGCAGACCAACGCAGCAGCTATCTTTCTTCTACTCCCTTTTCCTTTCTTCTTTCTTTTTATAACCGAGACAAGCAATGATGGAGGGAAAAAGAAGAGGCATCGCCGCGTTCCATGCGATTCCCTCCCTTTCCGGGTTATTTAGGCTGCGAAAGGCGCGGTCACCGCCTCAAACGTAAAGGACACGAGGTCGGTGACGCAGTTAGCGCCTACTGCCTCAGACATAGACGCACACACCTCTCCTTTTTCTTTTTTTTTTCTTCGTTGCAATCACACAATAGGCGCCCGCTTGAAGCCACCGACTGAAACCCTGCGGGTTTTCCTTTGCGCCATTAACGGGCGTCCGTGCTCCTTTGCTCTCCCCCTATTCGTCTTTCTCCTTCCGTGACGGCGAAGCGGCACGAGCTGCGCCACAATTGGCAACGCGACGAGTACAGCCAACGTTGAATCATCCGTGGCCAAGGAGGACTAGACAGAACAAATTACTATCTTTTGCGCAAAGCATCGACAACCCCATCACGCTCTCGGCCGCTCCCACGTCGTCGTCTCCGCCCCTGTCTGCGGATCCCGATAGGCGTAGTAGGTCTGCTTGTACTCTTCGGAGAAAATCGGGCGCCATCCAGGCGGCAAGGCGTCGCCCTCCACACGAGGCGGCGGCAGCGGAACTGCAGATACCGCCTGCGCCGCTGCAGAGCTTGGCTGCTGCTGCTGCTGCGGTTGCGGCTGCATGGCAGGATTCTCCGCTTGACGTTCGCCACTCCGCGGACCAGAGGTAGTGGAAAAGAGCTGGGAAGAAATGGTCGTTGCCGCAGGAGGAACAGAGGAAAACGTCGACGCCGGAGCCTCGTACCGCTCCGGCCCCCTCGCCGGACGGTTGCGATCGTAACGGCTGTTGACGTCGCGCCGTGCCTCCTCCCGTCGCGGACGACCACGAAAGTGGCGTGAGCGGGACGACGACCGCGATGACGACCGCGATGGCGACGACGACGAGCGTGACGATGACCCCGAGTAGGAGTAGCTGCGTGAGCGTGACGAGCTGCGGGAGCGTCTGCCGCTGCGGCCTCGACGTGCCGGCGGGGAGCGCCGTCGCCGATCGAATCGATCCTCCCTCTGGTGCTGGTGCGACGACCGCGGCAGTGCAGCGGGTGGACGGCGCTCACCGGACACTCCGGACTCCGCCCGCTCCGGTGAGTCCGCGTCTGGCACGGAGGCGAGACGGTTCGCGTGGGCGTCGTGCTGCCACTCCCGCGGCGCCCGCACCGCGACGAGGGCCGCGTCGTGCGGGTCCACCGTATTCATCATGTCTTTTTCCTGATGCCGCACGACGATGGCACGGTGGTAGTTGCGCTCCCCGTTTGGGTGGAAGCGGCTCTGGCCATTCGGGGTGCTGTAATAGGCGTTGAGGTAGTAGCGCACCTCTGCGCAGATGGGCCGCGGCTGGGCGTTGCCCTGTGGCGACGCTAGCGGGCCGCGCCCCCGCTCAGGTCTGCGGCCGTCCTCCGCCTCACTCACGAACTCCACGGCGCGGTGCGTAAAGACGCGCACGACGTGGGCGGCTGCCTCGGCGCTCGCGAGCTCGACAAGCGCCTTGATCACGCGTTGCTGCGTCGTGCGGCGGGAGTCGATCAACACAATCTTGCGTGGCTGGCACTCTGCGAGAAGCATCTGGTGCACCATGAAGGGAGACAGCGGAAACATGGAGGGCAGCTCGCCGCGTACGGCGCGCTTATCCTCCTCGCGGATGTTGCGGTGACGGTTGTACACCTCCTTGAAGTGTATGGAGACGACGACGGTGCTTTTCTCCAGGGTCTGGCCCGCTGAGGTGGCACCCGGGCCTGTAGATGCAGCCACCACAGCGCGTTGCGAAGACGCTGGTAGCGATGCCGGTGCCGGTGCCGGTGCCTGTGCCGCTGCAGGCGTAGGCGCAGGCGCAGGCGGGGCAGCGGCGGAAGGACTGCGCTGCAGCGGCAGCGGTGGTCGCTCGCGGCCGCCGACGCCCCACGTCACGACCCCCTCCACTAAGATCTTCTCATCGCCCAGCTTCAGGTACCCGCGGCGCAGCTCAAGTGCGCCGTCCTCCGTGCGAAGGACGACCTCGACGTTGTCCAGCAGGTCCCAGGTGGCCTTGGCGGATTTGAAAAAGACAGCTCCGCACTCCATCACGCCCTCGCCGGAGGTGCTGAGGACGGGGGATGAGTTCAGCAGCATATGGGTAATGCCGTTGTGCGGGTAGGAGTCGTCGAAGAGCTTGCGCAGCGGCAGCACTGCGCCTCGCAGCGGCGCCGGGAGGTCGAGCAGCACCAGCGCAGTGCCTTTCAGCACGGCATCCTCGTAGTGATGTGCCGTTGGCATCCTACGCCTTTTGCTTTGAAAGACCAAAGTTGAAGTTGAGCAAACGTCACCGGCAAGCGAGCGGCTTACCAGAAAACAATAAAAAGAAAAGACGGACAGGTGTGAGCGGCCTGAAGAGCGCGGCAGCCACACACGCACCCACACGCAGCCTCACGCAGTTGCTCAAAGGAGAGCGGGGCAGCGATGCTACTCGAGGTGAGGCACGAGTGAGAGGGAGGAAAAGCAACAACAGCAAGACTCTCAGCGCCGCCTACAAGGATCTCTAGGACCCCGGCGCAGCGTGGGTAGTCGACAGCTACAGGAATGCGACTGCGCTGCGGAGACGCACGGCACTGCTTACAACACCTACGCAGGGTTGCGATCCTTTATCGTGACCGAGAACGACAACAAGCTACGCGAGCAGATCTCCACAGCGAATTCAACTCCAATACTTGGTCCAAGTTAAGAGGATGCTCCTACACGACAGCTACACGAGAAAAGCCGAGACACGCACACACAGACACACAAAGACAAACACAGATGCACACCAGAGAGACAAAGGCCGAACGACGCTCAATCAATTTGACTTGACGATTTTTTTAAGCCGAAAACCGTAAAGCGACGAGTTCTACGAGTGTTGGAGGCACCACCGAAAGCTGCACAAACGTTCAGGCCGTCTGCGCCCAAAAACCCCAACGAATGTTTCCTTTGCTAAAGAAAAATTGAGACCTTACTTTTGAAAATGTATCGATTTGAAAGTGTGTGCAGATGTGCCAAGAGTGGTGGTGGTAGGAGTGGGGGACGCCCACAAAAAGGGAGTGAGGAGCAGCGGAGAGAAGGGAGGGGGGGGGGGGCAACAAGCAGTTCGAAAAGCCAAAATGGACCACACCGCGGAAGCTTTACCGTGACAGAACACATGGGTAAAAACAGGTCGTCGTGCCGCTCCCCTGGGGACAACCAGCTGTGAGCAGTTAAAACTCATTAGTAGCTTATATTCGGACACTTCAGATGACCCTTGCGGCAAGGTAATGAAGTGACAGGTCTGTATTCAGGGCCCAGAGAAACACTCGCGACTTAAACACTATTTGAAAAAAAAAACTTTGTGTGCGGTTATTACTGGTCAAACAACCGCCGCAAGCAGTTCATTTAAACCCAGAAAAACAAGATAGTCTTTGCCTTTTAGCCGAAACAGGAGCTGTGTTTAAGAGGCACAGAGTCTGCTTGAGAGTTAGACTCAAGAGCACCTCCTTCGACACGAGCAGGAGAGAGAAAAAACAAAACAAAAGAGTGGCCCTTGTGGAGACACCTTTCGCTTCGGTTTCTCTCGCTTTCCATTGGGGCCAGTTTGTGCGAGAGCACCACTGTGAAAAACGCTTACGGACGCTGTTAGCGCTTTATTAAACCTCCACCTGCGAAGAAACAAAAATAAAAGGCGAAGACGCAAAAAAGAAAAGAGAAGACACAGCTTTCAGAGGAGGAGGAGAACGCCCTTTGCTTTTCGTTTTCTGCCACTGGTACACACACGTACACACGTACCGGTGGTGCCCAGGACACGTAGAGTGGGATGATAATAACAATCGGAATCATCGTACGAGTTCTTGGTGGGCAATACAGCAAGCAAACGAGAGCATTTTGGGCAGTAATTCAAGGAGATAAAAACAAAAGAAAACACTATCGATGTTAAACAACGTTAATTAGTAGCCGTGGCAAAAATAGTAATCATAAAAGAAGGAGGAGATGAATTTAACAAATCAATAATAGTAGTAATAGAAGTCAGTTCTTTGTACCTTTTGCGGTGCGGAACGTGCTACGCTCCAACGTAAAGAAACGCTGAGGAGATATTGTAAAGAAAGAATTCCACACAAACAGAGAGAGGACTGCAGGAAGGGGGAAGAAGAAAGAAAAAAAGCATCGAGTGCATCGATACTGCCTGAGTTCTTCTTTGTGGGCGCCTCTGTTTCCCTTACACGCGCGCGCCTATAATAATAAAAAAGCCAAGAGAAGAGAAGGAAAGAGAAGAGAAAACTGGACTGTTACAAAAAGCCGTGAGAGATAAGCCGACAGTACTAGTCAAGTAACTACGTGAACGGCGAAAAACAAACAAACAAGCAACACAACTACTCACACACGGATTCCGTCAATACGACTAAAAAAAAAAGGAAAACGGGCGAAACGAACAAAGGCGAACAGCAGTGGGTTCGGTGTGAAAGAGAAAAGGGAAAGCAGTAGCAGCAGAAGAAAAGGGTGAACATAAAGCACGGTGCTCATCACCGCCCACCTTTATCATACCCTTTCATTGCAGCCCTTCGTTTTTTCTCTTTTACGTTTCACAATCAATTTACTTTGCTGAGGTGGACAGAAAGAAAGAAAAGAACGCTTCGTTCAGCTGCTAAACGTCGATCCCGAGAAACGCTTGCTGTAGGACAGCAGTCCATCACATTTCGGCACCGCATTTGAGGCAGCACGTCATCTTCTTTCTCTGCCCAGGCAAAGAGAGAGGGGGAGAGAGAAAAGCACGCGGAAACGCGTCCTACTCAAGAACAGTCGAGGGGAAAAATACACAAAAACAAAAGGTTGATAAAAACGGAAGGTTACAGAGGAGGCAGAAGGGCTTTTTTTGCAATAGAGAAGTCGTAAAGAAGAGCGAGAAAAGAAAATGGCCGTCAATAGTAACAGCAGCAATAACACCCTACGTGCCGCATGCAACGTGCACAACGACACCACCGGAGAATAGACGTGATGAAACGAAAACAGCACAAAAAGATAACTGCATAACAGAGATTTCTTCTGGTCTCTCCCTCTCTTCCGCATCAAGCAAGCCGGACAATCGAGCATCATCGTCTTCGACTCTACCATTTTGGCGCCGCCCCACTCCCCAACGAGAACACACACACACACACACACACACAACGAAGGAAGCACTCTGGGTTGTAATATGTAAACCACATGAAAGCAAAAACGGCACCTAAAAAAGGAAGCAGGGACGCTTTGCCAGCGAGGATACCCAGAACAATGAAAACATGACTGAGTTTAAGAAGAGAGCGACACGTGCGGTTGTGTGCCGGTGCGGGTGGAGTAGCGCATTCGATTTTATATGAATTGCTGAGCCTACACGACCCTTTTCTTCTTGTCGACCGTGAAGCAGGTCGAATAATAATAGTAATAATAGTAGTACTAACACTGATGTAAGCTTGCAGATGAAACCGTCTGATACGGCACAAGACGCATTGCCGGAGAGCACAAAAAAAAAGCAAGAGTATTTCAACAACAACAAAAAAACCGGAGAAGCAACCACGCATCTTCATGAGAATTCGCTCTTTCGACGCTTTTGAAACTTATCATCGAGTCTCCTTAAGCCTTGCTAATTGAAATCGAAATCATACTTCTCCGCCTCTTCGCGCTCTCTTCACGTTTTAGTCCGCCACAGCAAACAACAAAGAAACAAACAAAAACATGAAGTGTTGCAGTCAATCATCAAAGCAAAATCTGTTACCACCTCTTTACTTTGATGATGGCTCAACGAAGAAAGAAAGAAACTAACAATAGAAATAAACTCACCAATATGAAATAGAACTGATGAGTCCGTCGAAGGCGGGGAAAGAAAAAAGCCAGCCGTATATAGATATATTATGGTTTGTGGAGAGAAAAATGCAAGGATAAAACAGAAACGAAAGAAAAACACTCACGCGCAACGAGCGTCAGACCTGTCAGCCAATTGTTTTACACAGCTGCGCTGCATCTGTCGCGGGCATTGCGCGCCGGTGTCGTTTTTCTCCTTTTGTGGTCGTTTTTTTTCCTTTTCCTTTTAAAAACGACAGCAGCAACAAAGCAAACAACCAAACAGATAAATAAGGGAGAAGAAAAAAAAAAACATGATCAGATCCGCACCGATTGCCTCCCGTTTCATTGCCCACCCGCTACGATTCGTGCCGCGCACAGTTGGCCAGCGGTGCGTGCGTGTGCTCGCCTTCACTTTCTAACATTCTTGCTCTCCACCGCCTTCCCAAACTCTTCCAGTTTCATTTCCGTAACGGGGCTCAACTGCACGTTGAACACCTCCATCAACTTCTCCACATAGGCCTGGTCCTTGCACATGCTCTTGCCGGGGCTATCCGACACCTTCGCGACGGGCTTGCCCTGGCAGCGCACCATCTTGATGACAATATTCATCGGGCGAACCCCCCTGATGTAGCACGTCAGCTGCGTGCCGATGCCACACATCACATTCGTTGAGTTCTTGAACTGGTTGTACAACTCTACCGCTTTTTCCAAATCGAGGCCGTCAGAGAAGACGAGCGTCTTGGTGTGGGGATCAATGCCGAGCGTCTTGTAATGCGCCACCGCCTTCTGGCCCCACTCCGCAGCCACGCCGGAGTCCTGACGAAGGCCCTGGTAGGCGTTGGCCAGACGCGCGTCGAAGTCGCTGAGGAAGGCGTCCATCGTAATGCAGTCGGTCAAGGCCACACCGAGGCAGTGCGGGTACTCCCGCAGCCAGTAGTCCAGCGCCATAATCTGCGAGCGGCGCAGCTCCGGCGAGAGCTGCTGGAAGGCCTGAAACCACTCATGGGCCTGCGTACCTACCGGCGGCATGTTCAGGCGCCGCGCCAAGTCGTAGTTGCTGGTGCCGACGAGGTGCGGGCCAAAGCGGGCATCCTCCTTCAACGCACGCACAATGGCCTCCTGCACAGCTTTGCTGAAGCGACGGCGGCTGCCGAAGTCGGCCACCTTGAAGGTCGCGAGCTCCTCCTGGGTGTGACGCGCGAAGAAGTCATCCAACCGCTCGCGCAGTGTCGAAATCGCCTCGGGAACGTCGACGTGCGGGCGGCGGCTGTGCTGGGCCACCTCGCTGATGATCGCCAACAGAGGAATCTCCCACAGAATCGTCTCCACCCACGGACCTTCGACGGTCACCACCAGGTCGGAGCCGTCCTCGCCAAACTCGTTCCTCTCGCACGACAGCACCGGCTGAATCGAACGGATGTGCACCTGCTCCGGCTTGTAGCGGTAGTTGCGCAGGTATTCCAGGTAGTCGGCCTTGAAGTGCGGCAGCGTGCCCAGGTAGGCGTACTCTTCCTCCGTGAGGCGCACGTTGGACATGGAGGCGACATGCTTGCGCACCGCCTCTGCGTAGATGCCGAGGTGGTCGTCCTTGTTGCGGCAGTTGAACTCGTACGACGTGACGACGGTGGGGTGCTGGTGGAACACCGCCTGCTGCATGTGCAGCTTGTAGGCGTCCGTGTCCAGGAAGGACGTGATTATAGGAGTGAACTTGTTGTCCGTCATGTTTTTTCGTTCTTGTTTCTTCGTTTCAAAAAAAAAATATGCAACGAAAGAAACTGCAGTGGCAGCGGCTCACAACCGAACACGGAGAAAATAAGCTCGAAGATAACTAGTAAAAAGAGCTGATTAGAAAAAGAAATAGCGAAGAGCAAATAGAGGTATGTTTAAAAGAAAAGTTTTTTTTGTGGAGGTTCACTGAGCTGGGAGCAAAAGAAGATACGGAAGTCACAAAGATGTGCGTCCGGCGCTTTAGTAAGTGCGTGTCGGTGCTAACGAGACGGTCAAGAGACTATGTATGCTTTAGTCCAAGAGCCGAACACAGAACATCAAAGAGAGCAGAAGAAGCTGATGTAAATAGAAAGCTGCCGATGGGAATAAACAGGCGTACGGTTTTGATTCTCTTTCTCGGGGAGAGAGAGAGAAAGAAAATAATAATAATAATAAATTGAAAGAGGCGTAAGACAACAGGAGCAGCGGAGAACAAAAGGTCGAGACGGGTAAGCAACTAGCAAAAAAAAAGTATACTTTAAACGGCTCCACCAGTTGGGTTTGTTTGGCAACCTGCACGGGTACGGTCTCCGCGCTCCTCCTCCACTTTCTGGGTTTCCTCCGAGGAAAAGGAAACGGAGAATAAATACTACGACGAAAACGGCAAGAAGTAAAGCAAAAAAATTACTGTGGAAATTGAAAGAAAAAACCAGAGGCAATAAATAATCGTCGCTATGAGCGGGCGAGCAACTGGATAAATCGCGCAGCTGTGGCAATAATAGATCGTGGAGAGAACCAAAAGGCGATGTAAAAGAAAATAATAGTAGTGACCGTCGCGAAAGGAAAAACACTCAGAAGATGAATCAATAATCCATTCTTCGTCGGAAGGCGGTGGTGGATGTGCACGACAATACGGGTGCGAGTATTTTTTGATAAACAGGTAATGTGAGAGAAGGTTTAGTGATAATAATAGAGGAGGGAAATTGGCAGGAAGGAGACGACAAAGGCCAGAGAAAAACAGCGTGTATGATAACCTTTACGCGGGGCATACAGTCACAAGGCTTTACTCGCAGTTTACTGCGATCCGCTCTAAGATTGAGCTGCTGTTCTCAAGAGAAAAAAAAACACAGAACATGTGTCACTGTGGCGCAAGGTATCGATAGGGAAAAACAGGGTGGCTATTCCAGTCTAGAGTTCGTGTCACTCATCGCTACAAGCCAATTTACTTCCGTGAGCTTTCATCCTTCTTTCCATTGCTTTTCTTGTTTGATGCAACAGGACACAGCCATGCATGTTGTAGGTCAAAAAGTACAGGCACAACGACAGAGGGGGGAAAACCCCAAGGAGTAAAAACAAAGTTCTTTCTCGACTGACTTGTTGTCAACGGGGAAATCGCCTTCGTGCCGAGGAGGGTGTACGCACCCTCACCGTGTAAATACATTCCCTTTCTAAAGAAGACCCACCGACTCAAATTATTGAAGAGAGATGCGCGTTTTGTGATTGGTATTTCAAAACTTGTGGCACACAAATCACCTACAACAACAAAGAACATGCGTATCTGCGAAAAAAAAGGAGTAAAAAAAAAGGAAGTGAATCAGCCAGTACATTACATCGTTTGCTTTGTATATCTATATATATAAGAGCTGATAGAGCGCAGAGAGGGTGGATTGTCTACGTGTTAACAGTTTGAACAGCTACTCGGTGAATGAAGACGCCTTCTACATCGTCTGACGAAGATGAGCGCGATGTCGAGGACGGGACGGAAGCGCAGACGACGATGAAATCTCCTGCCGCTGCGTCGTCGGCGCGGGTGTCTTCGTATTTGACAGAGGCGCGACATACAACTTCGACGTCACGTGCGCCACGTAGCCCTTGGCAGATTTGCGCATCTCCACTGCCGGCGACACCCCATACATCTGCTGCGCGCGGCGGCGCTCCAGCAAGGAGTCGATTTTCTGCTGGACATTGCCAGCGGGGACCCCAGGGGAGGTGGGAGAGCGAGCTGCGCCACTCTCCACGGGACTCCGCGCCGCGGCCTGCGCATGTGAAAAAAGAAGAGGCATCGAAAGCGCGGAGAGTTGGTCCCGCGCCGCGGGTGTCAGTGTGTTTTTCATCAGCCGCTTTCGCTCGCGTGAGAGCAAGGAGAAGACGCTGAAGTCGTCGTTACTGCGACAGGTAGTGTTGCTATTGGCGTTGTGGTGGTCCACGCTGTCGACCAGGGTGTCACGTTGGGACGCCATCACCATCATGGACGGGGTGCGCACCGAGACATTGCGCTGCAACGTGCGCGCAGTGAGAGTACTGCGCTTCTCACGTGCTTCGACAGCGGCAGTGGGCGAAGGGCTTCGATCCGCGTTGCTGCCCCGTCTGTTGGGTGTGTGAGCCGAAAGGCCTGGCAAGAAGGCAGCATGTCGGCGTTCATGCGATGATGCCGTAGCGGTGTTGACCACGTTGTTTTCAACGTCGGAGACAAGCACTCCCGGTTGCGACTCCGCCTCGCTTTTGCCTGTATTCGGTGAACAGGGCGAGTCGTTTCGCCGCTTCTCAGAGTTCGCAAAGGATGCGTAGAATATTTCCGTCTTATTGCGCGGGCCCTGCGGCGTGCTCGTGCGGCTCTTCGACGTTCGCGTCGAGGCCGAGCTGACAGGGCGTGCAGAGGCGCTGCTGGGCGCCGCCCCGTCACCGACCCGCAGCGACACCCCCGCCGCGCCGCTGCTGCTGTGCAGCCGACTTGACTTGCCTGTTGCCGTCGCCTGCGACGCGTTGAGGCGCTCCTCCGACACCGCCGCCTCGCCGTCCGCCGACAGCGCGCGGACAAAATCTGCGCCCGCACTGGTAAGCGGCCGCGATGAGTCCGTCGGGAAGGCGGGTCCCGGCCACTCCTTCTCCACTCGATCGGTGTCTCTTTCCACGTCTAGCGACGACGGCGGCGGTGTCGTGGCCGACGGGGCGTCCACCACGAAGCGCGGCGACTGAATTTGTGTGGGGGAGGGGGCCGCGAGCGGCAGCGCCGCCTCCCCGCTGAACGGCTTCACCACGCCAAGTTGACAGGAGGGGCTGTTGGCGTACCGGTACCGAGTGCTGCGGCGCAGTCGCGTAGAAAGCTTTCGTGCGGCGGGCAGAGACGGCAAGTACGTGCCTTCATCGTCTCCGGCACCCCCTCCTTCTCCTTCCTCCGCCCCACATCTTTCTCGGTCGTTGTCGGCAAAGACCGGCTGCGTACCTGCCGCGGCGGCCGCGGAGTGGAGGAGGCCCGCCTGCAGTGCCGTGGTGGGCCGCCGCCCGGGGGACGGGTTGGGCGGGTGCGTGTCGGTGGGGGAGGCGGCGTGCGGCGGGGCACTGGGCGACGATGCCGCTTCAAGCGAGAGGCTGCTCAGCACGTCGAGCTGCAGAGTTTGCGAGACCCCATCCCCGATGGAGCGGCGCGCCTGCGCAAACGAGACGATGGACGACGTCCGGTCGCAGCGTTGCATGCTCGCATGACTGCCGAAACTCACCAAAGTCGAACGCGGGAAGTGGATGGCGTAGAGGTCGGTGAGGTAGTTGAAGTAGCAGGGGCTGTCCTTCCGCGCCTCCTTGAAGTCCTGCTGCCAGGCGGGGTTGCCTTGCACGGGGCCCGGCAGCGGCACCGCCGGGATGCCCACCGGCTCGCCCATGAAACGGAAGGTGCGCGGATCGGACACGTTCCACCTGTCCATACCTAGTTCGCCGATGGGGACGCCAGACAAGGTAAAGAGGCGAACGTAGTGGTCGGCGCCGGTGCACACGATCACCAGCTGGCGTGACGGCGCACCGGTCCTCGCCGCTGCGGTCGGCGCGCTGTCAACCTGCGTCTGCTCATCTTTGGCGGCCGCCGACGTACCCGCTGGATCAAAGGCAGTCGCCGCCGCCGCATCTACGACGCGGAGGCCGATCAAGGCGAGCCCGCTGGCAAAGACGTGCACCCGCTCAAGCTGCCGCAGAATCGGTATGGCGCGCTGCGTCTCGTTGCTGTTGAGTGTGGTGTCGGTGTTGGGCGTCGACAGCGTGTTCCCTTCTACCCCGTCACCTTCCTCGTCCTCCCTCATGTTCGTCGTCTTGTTTTGGTCCTGTAGCGAGCGATCGGATGTAACCGGGGAGGCGGTGCCTGCCATCGTGTATAAGGCCGGGTTTGACAGCGACATCGCCGTTACCTGCTCCGACGACTTCGTCAGGACCTGCCAACGCACGCGGCACACGTGCACGTTGCCCTCGCCGTCACCAAACACGAGCAACTCCCCCTCGTTCTCGTCCATGTCGAAAACGAACGTACCGGAGGGCCCGTCCTCGCGGTGGTGCGGGTTGTCCGCGTCTTCCGCGGCGCCGTCGTCCTGCAGGCCCACCGCGGTCAAGTTCACCGCCCCGAGGCAGACGCGACGGAGAGTGTGCCAGAACGACAGCGTGCCGTCCTCCTGCGCCACAACCAGCAAACGCGGATGGACGGCGGGCAGGGTGAGCAGGCGAATCGTACGCGCCATCACGTGGCCACGCTGACCGCCGCCACCGCGGTCGCCACCGGCTGCCTCGTCATGACTTGATGACCCTGTCATGTTGTGGTTCGTTGACGGCACCAGCGAGGACGGCTGCTCCACGCCACCGCCGTCGCGACGACTGACCACGCTGCGGCCGCGCGTCATCCCCGCCAGTGTCCCCGTCCCACCGCAGCCCTTCAAGGTACTGTTGGGCGACAACGCTAGAGGTAGAGTGCCGTAGGAGGGTGGGTACAACATCGCCTCGTTCACCCACAGCGGCGCACCCTCCTGGCAATCGGAGAGCACGTTGTACACGAGGACCGCGCCGGCGGTGGTGCCGCATCCAACGTGCTGCGGGCTTAACTGCACCAGCTGCGTAATATCCCCGTAGATGGGCAGCGGCGTCCACGAGGAGGGATAGGTCGTGGTGTACTCGCCCACTTGCGGCGCGGAGGACGGGCCGTCCTCGCGGAGGTGCGTCACGTTGTTGCCGTTGTTGGACGTCGTAGAGTCAACGTAGAGGATCCGGCCAATCGCGAAGAGGTACGAGAGGGTGCGGTAGTGCAAAAAGGACCCGACGGCGGTCACATCGCGCTTCGGCGTCGATGACGTGGTGGCACGTGCGCGTGGACTCACTGCGCTGGCCCTACCGCTGCTGCTGGTATTGTTGTGCCGGCCCACCTCTTTCGTCGGTGACGACGGCGCCTTTCCATCCGCTGTAGAAGAGGAGCACGCCGCCGCTGTCAGGACCCGCTCCACCTGCCCATTCAACACGTTCCACGCCACCATCACCCCACCCGTGAAACCTGTCAGCAAGCGGCGCTGCGTCACACCCATCGAGGCTGCGACCGGCGGCATTGGGGCCCCCGTCATGGCCGACGCGTTGGAGAAGTTGGACAGCAGGAACGAAAACTCGTTCACACCGTTGCGCGGCGTCCAGGTCATGATGACCCCGTCGGTGCCCACCGTCACCAGCTGGCCAAAGGCGCGGGAGGTCAGCGTCGTGAACATCGGTGCGTTGTGGCCGCGGTACCGCACCGGGCAGCCGGAGGAGACCTGCCGCTTCACACAGAGCGTAAAGGGAAACCGACCAAAGCCAATCACTCGCTGCCGGATTGGATCGGCGTAGAGCTGCGTCGTCATGCACGAGGAGGCTGAGGCAAAAAGGAGATCGGCGGCGGCAGATGCGGCCGAGGCGCTGCTAAATCGCGTCAGCGAACCCGCGGAGCCCAACGGAAGCTCTTGCCGCAGCCGAAAGCTCTTGCAGTCGTAGACGTGCAGGACGCGGTCGCGACTCACGGTGAGAAGCTGCTCGCCCAGGAAGGCGCCGCAGCACAGCGGCCGGTTCACCGACTCGAGCACCGCTATCGGAGACGGCTGATTCCACTCCCAGACCAACGCTCGACGCTCCGGCCCGATGGTGAGGAGCATCTTCAGCTGCGGGTGCAAGGCGAAGTCCGTCACGCTGGCGTGCTGCTCGGAGAGCTCCGGGGCGTAGAAGGTGCGAAGGTTATGGCCGGAGAAAAGAGACGTCACCCGGACCCGACCATCCTCGCCAGAGCTGATGAGGGCGCTGAGAGAGTGGGAGAAGTCGAGTTTGGTGATGGAGCCGTCGTGCAGCTGCGCAAACACGTGCCGGGCCACGAGCACCCGTCGCTGCGTCAGTTCGTTCTGTGTGGCAATAATGAAAAGAAAGGCATCTCCTTTCGTGGTGCCGAGCAGCAGCACGTCGTCTTGAAAAGCCGACTCCACAAACGCGGTGGCCGTCACGGCGTCCACGAGGGACGTCAGTACGCCCTCGTCGACGTGCTGCACCACATAAGGGCCTCGCCCCGTGCCCGTGAGCGGCGTGTTGTCTTGATGCAGAGCCTCTGCTGCACTGGCCGTGGTGAGGGAGTAGCTCGTTGTGAGCGTGGAGGCGTTGGCGGCTGCATTGGCGGTTCCGGCTGGGTTCACGTCGAGGTCCGTAACTTGCCCGGATGCCTCTGCTCCCCCAGCAGCCGCCGCCGCCGTCCTGTCTCCCGCGTTGGGCTGCTGCACCCCTCGCCGGATCTGCATTGCCGACGACAGAAGCCGCTGCATTCGACCCTCGCCCGATTCTAACTTGCCACGCCCAGGCCCGCTCTGCTTCGCGCCGGACGGCGTTTTTCCTCTTGCCGACGACACGTGCAGCCGCGCGCCGGCGTATCCGTGCTCGTTCGGTGGCCGCCGCTTTGGCAGAGCGATGCCGCCCACGTGAACCGTGCCGATCGTCTCCGTCGCGTAAGCGATGCTGTCCGCGGTCCCCTTGATGCCGCGGCCGTGGAACACGCGCAGCACCTCGTACGAGGTGCCTTCCAACACGTACACGTAGCGATCCATCGTAATAACGTAGAGGACGCGCCCGCGGCACCCCCAGTGCAGCCCCACGATCCAGCCGTCCACCTTAAGCAGCACGCCACGGTAGTCGAGGTCACCGCCGCTGCTCCACGCCCGCACGGAGCCGCCGCTGCATCCCGTCACAATCAGACGCCGCTGCCGGTTCATGGCGACACACGTAATCGACTCGCTGTGCTGCTCTTCGAAGTGAAGATTGCGGGGCTGGCCGGACAACACAAAGCGCTGATCTTCAAAGGCGAGGTCGGCTTTCTGTCGCGAGCACGTCACGAGGAAGGTTGCTAGTTCATTCCACGAGACGGTGTCCTGATCGTCCGAGATGGCCTTGGCTAGGAGGGCTTGAATCTCCGGCAGCGTCGCACTAGGAACGGCGCGCTGAACCACACGGGTGAACTCGTCCCTCGCCAGATGGCGCAGCTGTGCGACGGACTCCTCGCCCGCGTTGCTCGCGCCCATTCCGTCAGGCGAAGCGGCGGACGAGTGCGCCGCGTTGTGCTCCGCAGCCAGCAGTTCCGCTATGGTGGCAGGCAGCTCCTCTGCGCGAGGCACCGGTTCGCCAAGGACGGCCTGTTCAGCACTCGCGACAACACGCAACGACTTCTGCTCAGGTGTAGCGGTTTTGACTTGCGCGGCTGCCAGCAGGGGAGACATGGGAGAGGACGGGAGGGGAGCTGGTACGTGCGACGTCTGCCGGAAGGCAAGCATGATTGCTTTGAGCTCGTGAATGCCGATGCGCTCTTCAAGTGGCGGAGGCGGGACATCCACGCCAGCGTGCTGGTCCACCTCGTTGCTGCTGCGGTCTGCCCGCTCCCTTGGCCGGTCAACTTCGCCACCGCCGTCCTTCTCATTCTCCGTCGAAGTAGGGTGGGAGGTTACCGCGTAGGTGCTTTGCTGCCCCAACGCGAGAATCCACTGATGGGGATCGTTCGCTGAGGCAGCGACGTGACGGGCATTGTTGCGTGACCCGGCAGCGGGGTGTGTGCTCTCCGCTTTGGCTGGAGTTTTCTTGCTGCCCGAGGGCGGTGATGCGAGCGTGGTAGACTTGGTCGATTGGGAAGGTAGGACGGACTCCCTCGCGCCTGCGTTGGAGGAGCGCGGGTTGAAGGACACGTGCTTCGCAACGGGGGATCCCGGGCTCCGCCGAGGGGCGCTTTCGCTGCTGTGGTGTTGGTGGTTCACTGCGGCCCTCATTCCCGCGCTGCGCCGGTCCCTCCTGGAGGTGAGAGGGGAGGAAAAAAGAACAAAGGAAGATGGCACAACAACGAGTTTGGTTCACCGTGTTTTAGTGTGAAAAAAAAAAAACACGTCCGTAAGATGAGGAGACCTGTGGCATTACTTGAGACGACGGCGGCACAAACAAAAGAACGCAGGAGGAGGAAGGGGGGGGGGAGCGGAGAGAGAAAGAAGAGAAGAAGTAGAACACAAGAAAAGACGTATTAACAAGAAGCAACGCTGCAGGGTCATTTCCTCGACGAAATACTTCGCCCACGCCATTTCCACACATAACTGTTCTTCCGCCACTTCACTCTTCCCGCACCGCTGAAGAGCTTCTACATTCCTAGCAGGCTGTCCACCTTCCATGTTTCTCTTGTTTCTTGCTGTTTGGTTGTGGGTCATTACGATAATCATCGTAAGCGAGTCTAAGGGAGTAAACAAGACACTAAATTACGCAGTTATTACGTCGCAGTTTCATCAGCGAGGGGTTTAAAAGGAGAAGTAAGTTCAGCGATGAAAGAGAGAGGAGGAAGAGGAAAAAACTGTCCCTTCGTCCTTGCCCACACCATAATACGAAAAGGTGTTTGTTTTTGTGTATAATACCTTTTTGCTGATTGATCTTCAATGAAAGTCGTCCGACGCCATCAGAACCTGCGTGATTGCCTTGAGCGCCATCGCCAAGTCGCTCACCGTCTTGTCCGTCATCGCGCGGTCCTCTGCGTTCAGCATCGTCAGCTGCCGCCAAGCCTTCGGCAGGGCTGTAAGCAACATGCACAACTCTCTCAGATAGCGCTTGTCGATCGCCTTGCGCACCATGTCACCTACTTGAGACGTGAGGAGAGAGTGGGCAGCACCAACCCCACCACCACCGTTGCCGCCAGGGCCGAAAAAGGACGGATTGTTTGACCTGGGAGTCACCACAGCAGCTGCAGGGTTTGTACTGCTGTTGTTCACCGATCCCGCTGCGGCCGCATTCCACTCCGATGACTCGTCCTCAGCGCCGAAGCTGCGTCCACTCGGCATCGCCGTGACCGGTGAGGATGCGAAGCTGCCGGCGGCGTTGCACGCGTTGTGCACGGCGATGGCGGCCGACAGCGGGATGAGGGCCCTGGCCGGGTGGTAGAGGGAGGTGTTCACGACGGTGTCGGCGGCGTCGGCGACGAGGACGTCCTCTGCACCGCTCGTGTACGTCGCACCGGCCGGCGGTAGCGTGTCGGTCATGGTGGTCGCCGCCAGCCCTTGTCGACCTTCACCACCCATCTCTCCAGAGAGGGTCGGGGAGGACATCGATCTGGGAGGCATTGCAGAGGCACGGATGGTATGGGCGCTGTTTGCGCGCACCAAGCTGGGCGAATCTGACGGCCACGGTGCAGGTAATGCGGTGGTGCTCGTCCCCCTCTCCAGTCGGGCACCAGCATGACCGAAGTCGGAGTGGCTGCCGGCCCGCTCCGCGACCGGCGGCAGCGGCGGCTTGCCAAAGGCACCAGGCGCAGCACTCGGCGCAGCAGCCCCACTCCCCCCGACGGAGTCGTGGTTGCTCGTCAGCCCTGCGGCGGCAAGCCTGGCAGGTCCCGACGCGTTCATCAGCATCGACACAATCACAGGCGCACCGCGGGTGCTGAGCGCTTCCAAATAACAATACACGCGGGTAAAGAAGATGTCGAGGGCGTCGTTGACGCCGCCGTTGTTGCCGAGGGCGATGCAGACGCGCAGGAGGTGCTTCATCAGCGACGGGAACTCCATCAGGAATCGACGGCTGTACTGCCCGTTGCCGCTGAAGGGCGAGTGCACGTTTGCGTTCGTTGGTGTCACGCCGGGCGAGACACCACCCCCGTCGCCGCCTCCCGCGTTGCCACCGCCATTTCCATTGACGCCGCCGCCGCCGCTCAGGCCCGTGTTGTAACCCCCGCCCCCGATCGCACCGCTGGGGCTCCCCCCACACGCGTTGGCGCCTCCGCGTCCACCAGCAAAGCCGGACCCGTTGTTGTTGCTGTTCGCTCCAGCGGAGAGACCTGCGAGGTTCGTGCCGGATGCCACGGGGCTGCCCGCAACCGCCGTCGCGGACGCCACCGTGTTCTTGTCCACCAGCGACGACGTCGTGATGACGCGCTGCACCTCGTCCAGCTGCACCTGCCAGCGCGGCCGCATCGATTCCCCGAAGATGCAGGAATGCAACTCCGAGAGGAGTCGGTACTCGTCCAGTAGGCGACCCACACGCCGGCAGCCCGTGCGGAAGGACTCACTCAGAAAGTAGCCAGACTCATCACACCACACGGACGCCACGATGGAGCAGACGGCGCCGTACTCGCTGAAGGAGTGGAGGCGGTCGAAGAGGCGCGTCTCGAGGCGGTGCTCGTAGCCAAAGGCGGCCGTCGCGTAGTCCAGCGCCTGCTCATGACGCAGCCCGAAGCACTGCTGAATAGTGGTGAGCAGCGACATATCGAGCGGTACGCACATCCCGCCTTTACCGCAGTAGAGAGCGGCGACGGTTACGCAGACGTGCTTCACGTTTTCCCACTGACGGCGCAGCGCGTCGGTGTGCTGCTCGCCCAGCCGCACCACCGTCGCCGCGTCCATCGTGGCCAGCTTACCGGGGGAGCTCTTCCACCGACCCGACCAAAACGACCCTCCGCCACCACCACCGCTGCTGCTGCCGCCGCGTCCGTGGGCAGCGGCACCGCCATTGGCTCCAAAGAGGTTACCGCTGCCACTACTGGTGCCGAACAGAGATTTGTTCAAGTTGGGGGAGGACAGGTTGCCGCTCATGTACGCCTCGCGCACGGCGGCCAAGGCACCCGGCAAGTCAAAGCGGGTCAGCTTGTCCCCAAAGGCCCACCGAAACACGCCGGGGTCCGTTTCGTAGTACGTCTGCAACAGCTCAAGACGCGCGGCGATAGGGATGGGAAGGTAGTAGTTCGAAAGAAAAGCGTAGGGCGAGCCGAGCTGCTCCTCGCGGGCCAGCTCGCGAAAAGTCTGGAACTGCTCCGTCACCTCTTCAAAAAGGAAACGACTCTGCAAAGACGAGGCGCCCATACCGACCCCGGGGACCGCCTCAACTTCCTGCAGCTGACGCTGAAATTTAACGTAATCCTCATTTAAGAAGAAGCACTGCCGCTCCTTGTGTCTCTTCCGTCGAGCCGCGCGACGGTTCTCTGACAACGAGTTCTTGTCGCCGCCCGGGACGGTGAAGGTCGCATTGTTATTGTTATTGTAGGAGGCGCCGTTGTCCTTCGCCGTGGCGCTATCAACAGCCGTCGTGAGGTCCTCCGTCGAGGGCACGCCGCTGTTGTGGTGTGTGTGCTGCAGCAAGCTGCTGTTGTGTGGGGTGGCGTTGCAGTCGCAGTTCCACATTGGGGGCAGGACGAAGGACGTGGCGGCGGTAGTTGTGGCAGATATCGACGTCGTTTGCTGCACGGACGAATTTCGCGTGGCGTCGAAGTGGCGAGACTTTTTCTTTCTTCTATCGTGGTGATTGTGGTGTGAGGGGGGCTCGTGGGTGGGGTTGTGCGGACGAAGACTGTGCTGATGACGGGGACGATGAACGTGGGGCGTCGAGGGGAGTGGCAGTGGTGGCTGAGAAGCTTTCTCGGGTTGGCTATTCTCTTGGCCACTGGCGTGGGTGTAACGGCTGCGCGCAGCAGGTTCGGTGGAGTGCGGCGGTCGTGCGGCGTTGGTGCTCGTGTGCACGGCCGTCGTGACGGGTGCGGGGGCCGTCGGCCGGTATGGCGAAGCGTTGCCCGGCGTGAGCGTCAGTTCCTCTGGGTGCTCCTCCTCCAGCGTCACGCGCTTGTCCTCGCGCAGTAGCTCCGACTCGCTGGCGCGGAAGGCGTTGCTGGTGGACGAGGTGGCGTCCGCAGCGCCAGTGCTCGTGTCGGGCGAGCTGCGTTGGGCATCCTGCCTGTGACCTGCGGAGTTGCGTCTGCTCCCCGGCAGACCTCGCGCGAGGACGGCCGCCGGTGGCGAGTTGCCAGGTGAGCCAGATCCAGAGAAGTGATCGGGTGAGTGCACCGACAGTCTCGACGACGACGACGTCGCCGTGGAGGCGGTCGAGGACGACGACAAGGACGAGGAGGCAGAGGAAGTGCGCCGCTTTGCACATGCGTCTTCGGGCGCGACGTTCTGCAGCGCCATTAGCTGCTCGACCGTTTCCTCCACGGAGTAGCCTTGCAAAAAGAACCGAAAGACGGTGAAATCAACCGTCATCGGCCACACCGAGCAGGCGTGCATCGAGACAGACACCGGCATCGTGTAATACGAAAGGTGACGTAAAACTCAGCAGCAGGAAATGTAGCAAACTATTATTCTTCTTATTGATGTTTGTGTGTGTGTGTGTGTGTACAGAAAGAAAAAGAGAAGAGATTCCGTCGAAGTGGTCCCGATAGCTAAAACCCGCACGCGTGAATATACTGCGGTAAAACGAACTTGCGAAAGAACAAACAAACAAGAAAAGAAGAGCAGCTGCAAAAAATGAAAAAGAGGCGATTCTGCTTTTTTTCGTTTCACCGAATGTGAACGGCGATACAACCGGGGTTTATTCTTTAGGGGGAGGGGGAGGGAGGTTTGGTTGTAACCGATGTGTTACGGCTGTGAAAACACCGGAGGCAGAGGGAGCGAGGTACAGGGATAAAGCAGGCCTTTTGTGTGTGTGTGTGTGTGTGTGTTAAAGAACATGACAAGGCTCTTCCATGGCGAGCAGAGTTGCGGCACTGCAGCGCAGCCGAAACGTGTAGCAGCGAAAAGGCGGTCTCCCCAACACAACACGCCCCGGAGAGACACAACGTAACGCGCGTCTCGCGGCGGGTCAGGCAGTTTAACAGGAAACACTTCGGGTCTTTCTTTTAAAGCTGTTACTAGTTTGACTTGGCAGAAAATGTGAGGCAACTATGACGCCAGAGGCCAAAACAAAAGCAAACAAGGAAAAAGGAACGGGGAAAGCAGAACCTTCCATCTCAGAACCCGAGCTGGTTCATGGCGTCCATCAATTTTGCCGTTCCAGATGCCTTCGTCTGCGCCTTTACCGGGGCTCTTACTGCCTTTTTGGGCATCGCCTTCATGGGAGGTCCCTTGGGCACAAGCGGCGAGGAGGACGCTGCTGCAGCAGCCTTGGCAGGACCTTCAGACGACTTTGAGGTTGCTGGTGATGGTGGTGGTGGTGACTCAGAAGACGAATTTGCCGTTGACTTTTCGCCTTTCGCGGTACTCGCTGCAGATTTCACAACCTTCGCCGTGTTGACGACGCGATGCGGCGTAGTGGCATCTGCCGTGTGACGGTGCTCCTTTCGTGTGTCCAAAGTTGCTCGTAGCGGGGGCTGCGAGGGTGGGGCCGCGGCGGGAGACGGCGCAACGGAGCACAGCTTCGCATTTGGCAGCTGCACGGGTGCACTTCCGCCAGAATGAGATGCATTGTTGACTTTTTTCAGCGGACCGGACGGCACTAAACTCCGCAGCTTCTTCTGAGATGCGCGAGCCAGCGGAGCCGAAGGGGTAGTGGTAGCACCCGCTGCAGCTAAAGAGGCATCGCGAGCCGTTTTTTTCGTTGTCAAGGAAGCCGCGAGTGTCTGACGCAAATGGGCGGCGGTGGCGGACGAAGAAAGCTCCTTCAGCTTTCCACCTCGTGCTGCTTGCTCTTCCTTGCGTGGACGGCGCGCGCTGCGGCGGTGAAATCGCCGATTGCGCTTCGGCACCCGCGCTGCCGCAACAACAGCCGCCACTGCCTGTTCAGCGCTCCTTCTGCGCTTTTCACGGGCATCCGCCGTGCTGGCAATGATGGGCTGCACTCGGCGTTGTGCAGGTTCGATGGTGTCTGCTCCGTCAAACGGTTGCTTGCCTGCCGCAAGAGTAGCCGCGCGAGACGCCTCATTAAAACAACGGACGCAGCACACGGTGAACTTCCTGCAGGGGGAGGCGTTGCTTGCGCCGCGGCAGCGACGATGACAACGAAGTGCACCGCGCTGCCGCACACGGCACTCCATCACTGTCGGAAGGACCCATTTCTCGCTCTGTTGCGCAGTGGCACCAACTCCCCGTGTCAGCCACACACCACAACGCGGACACCAGCATCGACGCGCACGACACAACTTCCACACGCGCATGTAACGAGGCCCGTGCACACCGGCCCGTGCGACGCATAGCTTGCCTTTACGGAGCAGCGGGCGCACGCACGGCCCGAAAGGCTTAGCGAGGCCACGACGCAGTGCGTGCGAGCCGTAGTGCGCCGATAGGTCTCGTTGTACATCTGAAATGAAGGAAGGCGATGGTTCGCTGGCGACGGCGGGTGATGCTGAAGAAGATTCCGTCATGCACCACGGCTGCTGTAAGACTACCTGTGAAAGACGTCCACAGAGCTCAGCACCGAGTTTTTGCGTGCGGCGCGCAAGCGAGCCGAAGGTGTTGTGCTTTCCGCTGCCTTGCTGTGAGTACACAAGCCCTTCCACAAAGGTAGAAGAGGACATGGAGGAAGACATGTGTCTTTTGACAAAGGCGAGTCTTGAAACACGCAAATAATCAATAACTTCGTTTTCGAGTCCACAAGAAGAAGAGAATCACGATAAGGAAGGGTGACAGAGAGTGCACGTTGATTACTGCGGCGACGACGCAATACCAAAGTTGTAGAGCACATTCGTGCGTCATTAGCAAAAAAAAAGCTGTTTTGTTTCTGAGAAGCAAAATACATCGCTGACCCGGAGAATAACGGCGAGGTCGCCGTTACGCATTCAGACGTGTCGCGTTCGCGTACGGACGGTTCGCTGCTGTGAGCAATTCGATGACAATTCCATATTTGTGTATCTTCTGCATTGGTCAAGGATAACCTTCCACTTCTCAACGGAAGCGACGGCGGCTAATGTACATCGTCTTTGAATGTGAGCGAAGAAGAAAAGAAGAAAAAACAGTGACCCATGAATTCTCCAACTCTCGCCGGAATGCAGCAGTACGAGCGCCGTACACAGTGCGCGCACGATGCTCCTTCACTGGTTGGGAGGCGTGTGGAGCTCATGCGTTGCTGCTCGATTTCGTCGTCGCTTCCCCCGCGGCTTCGGTCGCAGCACGGCTCAATTCGCTCTGCACCTCCTCCATGCGCAGCACCGTCCCCTTCAGTGTTTCCAACAGCCGTTGGTGACTCAAGAAAAGCAGTTCATGAGGGTCGATGTACCAGCTGCAGTAACGTCGCAGGGCCCCTTGGTACCGTTGCGCCTGTGCTTCCGCTAGCGAGGGCGACGATGCCTTCGACTCCACGGCAGCCACGCCGGCGGCAACGAGGGGGGACTTGGTCGATAGCGTGGGCAATGGACAACCGGTGGTCTGCTGTGACTTCAACCGCTGCCGAATGCGCCTCTGAAAGGCGTCCTCCATGTGCTGCTCCTCCTTCGCCGTCAGACGCGCACTGCGAGGACGTGCGGGGGAAGAGCAGCAGGGCTCCTCAGGCGTTGCGATCTCCATCGCATCATCCTTCTCCTCCACATCGACATCGCCGGCTTCGCTGTTGTCGCGATGACTGATGTGCGCTGTTGTTTCGATCGTCTGTGCCTGCCACTCCTCCGCAAAAAGCGCGTCCCACTCTTCCTCCTCCTTCCACTGTGCAAATGCCGCCCGTCGCCGCACCCACTCGTCCTCGACAAACTTCCGCTTGTAGTCCACCGAGGTCAGCATGTGCTCCTGCAAAATGCTGTTCGCCACCGCGTCAATGCGCTCCACCGCGGAGGGGAGCGTGCGGTGCTGCTGCAGCTTCAGCCGCGCCTCCACCTCCAACTTCCGCCAAATGCGCATCATCCGTCGCACCGCACGCCGCTTCACCGCGAGGCAGCGTCGAAAGAAGCGCTGCAGCACCCGCACCCCGGTCAAGACGTCGCGGATGCGCTGCCGCCGCAGGACGTACTCGGCGTAAAACGCGAGACTGTGCCGCACCGCCGTGAGCGATTCGTCGAGGACGTCGGGCGGAACGGCGGAGAGCCGCTCTGCGACGGCCGTGATGAGCGGGGCCTCCTCCTCGCTTCCGACCTCTGCCGGCGAGGCAGGGGACACCGGGTTGAGGGTCATGGCAAAGCACGGCGGCGACGCGAAGTCTGTGCTGTCTGTCACCGCCCCTGCGAAGCTGTGGCTCTGCAGCGGAGCGTCCACCGCGCTGCCGCCCGGCGATAGTGGCGGGAATGGAGGGGAGGTGAGGCCCACGTAGTCCCCCGCTGCGGTACGCAGCACATCGCCAAAGGCGGAGAAGGTGCCGATGAGCTGACTCGCCTGCTGGGAGCCGTGCAACGCCGTCGTGAGCGAGACGGCGCGGTCGCCGCGCAGGAAACGGGAAAGCGGGGTGGTCACCGTCACACACCCCGGCAGCGCCTGGCAGACACAAGCGATGGTGACGGCCTCGGAGAGTACATGATAGCGGTTGGGCGGCACCTGTGTCAGCCACTGCGGCAGCAGCGAGAAGCTTTGGATCACGATGTCGTCCAGTGGCGCCGCACCGGCATCGATGCTGGGCGACGAGCGTCCGCTAAAACCACTAAAGGCCGAGAGGGGAAAAACAGGAAAATACTCGCGCACCAGCAGCAGAGCCGCCGGCGTTGCATGACGAGAGGAACCGGAGCCGCGGACAACGGCGTCGGGTGCCCGGTCAGCGGTGCCGGGCTGCGTCGCACTCGTTAACAGCTCGCTATTTCCGCCTGTCATGGTCGCACTGGCCATCATCGACCGGGCCGGTGGAACGTACAGCACTCGCGCCTCCTCGCGGAAGGCGTGGCCGCCAAACAAGAATGCCCCACTCGACGGGTCGAGCAGCATGTTGTCCACAAAAAGCGGCGGCTGAGCGGTGATGACGGTGCATCGATCATCCGGTGCGCTGCGGGAATTGGGCCGTGACGGCACCTGCGTAGGGAACGCTGGCGCAAATGGAGTGGGTGACCTAAATACCGTCGCAGCGGGCCCCGTACTTGGGGGTGTGTGCTCCTTCGTTGGGGTCGATGTTGCAGCTGCTGTGGTGGGTCGTGGAGGGGGTGGCTTCGATGGAGATGACACGAAGGATGGCGCCGCCTCCGCACTGACGCGGGCCACCGTGACGGGCGTCGATTTCGTCCGTGTGACATGCGATGACGGCGATAGCGAAGGAGGAGGCGTGATGGTTGGTGTGTGGTACACGGACGCGGCGCGCCGGGCGTGCCCCTCAGCCAGCGAGCACAGTCGCGGGGGAGTCTCTGCGCGATGCTCACCTCGGTCGGCGGTGGACGGGTTGGAGGCGGAGTGCGATCCGGACAGCCTTTCGATTGCCGCCGCTGCAAACCAGTCAGGGGGGAAACGATAGGCAAAGCTATCTTGATGGTCGGTGCGCATGCTGATGTCTTTGCCTATCGACTCCCTTCGGATGCTGCGGCGGCGCACATTTTCAAAAGATGAACGCTGCGATCGCGTGGCACTCGGCACGTCGAGGGGGGTTGACGTGGTCACGTTAACGGAACTCACTCGCCACGGTCTTGTGCGGACGCTGCTCGCGCCGTTGGCGGTGGTGGCGGCTGTTGTGGCGGCGTCCTCCTTTGCTTTTGCGGAAGCGGTGTTTCGGGTGCGCAGGACAGCCGCCAGCTTCACCGTGGCAAGGGCCTCGTCGAACGACGTCAGCGGACTCAGCGATGGACGACTTCCTCCGTCCACGTTAGAGGACGAAGGCGAAGCAGTGGAGAAGCTGCTCGTCATGGCGCCATCGGTCAGCCCATTCGCCTCCGCGTGGGCCGTAACGGCCGAAACGAACTCGCTGGCCTCGGGGTCCTGCACCGCCTCCTGCAGAGCAGCTGCCTCCAGACGAGGGCCGAGGCCGCGCAGGAGACGTGCGATGGCCTGCAGGAGGTCCACGCTGATGGCACGCTGTTTGCTGGTGAGTGCGAGTGTGTGTTGGACGGTCAAGGAGGAGCGGAGGTAGGAGGTTTCGCCAGGGAGGCGCGCCCCGGGCGGTGTCACGTTGGGCTGAGGAGAAGACATGGCGTCCCTTCTTCGTTGTGTTGCGTGCTCGATTAGAAAATGCCTCTGCGAAAGTGAATGAACTGAGGTGTGCTTCCGTTCATGTTCGCAGATGTTTCTGCTTTTCTTTTCCTTCTGAACGGTGGAAGGAGGAACGCTGCAATTCGCTGGATATTCTTGCCAGCTTTTTTGTTGGCCTGTTTGAACTTCTCAACGGACAAGTTTTCTCCCTCTGCTTCGTCACTGTACAACAACCAACATAGAAGGGGGTAAAGAAAAAAAGGAAGACAAGTCGGCGGGGGGTGGGTGGGGTGGAACATCAGTAGTCGCTATAATCTGCGGTTAAAATGGGGGCTAGGATCTCTGAATGAACACACAAATCACTGCTCTTCCGATGCAGATTGTGATGTGGCCACATCCTCCGCATGCGGCAGTTAGACGTTGAACCGGCACAGGTGACATTGCCCTTTCCGATACCAACGACGAAGGAACGTACGGCGTGCACCGTGCTCGACTGTGCGTGTGAATGCGTGTGCACATCTTTCGCCGGGGGCAGCTGCAACGCCGTCACGCTTTTCCAAGAAGAATGCAGCTGCACCTTCTTTTTTTTATTGGTTGAAGAAGTTTCTTGTTTTGACGAAAAATGAGTGAAACTAAAAAAAAGAAAACACGAAAGGAAGGGACGATCGTGGTGGAATATACGCTGACACGAAGCCGACCCACACACACCCACACACACCCCCACGTTCACATAGACGACCAAAGCGCTCTGAAGGCAACCCAGATTGACTGCAGTGTCGTCTAGTCTGTTTGACGGTAGTCGTGTTGGTGCGGCGCTCGTGCGCGCATCCTTCTGTTGGAACGCCTCCCATCAGCGCAGCAAGAGAGCGAGAGAGAAAGGGAAAGAAAAAACACGGAGTCTCCTTTTCTTTCATTCTTACTCGGACGCGGTGATCTGCTTGGGCTCGATCACGGTGATCACATCCGGCAGCGGCTCGGACGGGCCGTTGCGGCCGTTCGGGTCGTTCGGCAGCATGATCTTGACCTTCACGCCAATGCAGCCAGCGCGCATGTAGCAGTGGCGGCAGGCGGCGTCGACGAAGTGCTTGTGGGCCGTACCGGACTTGATCATGTAACCGTCGCGGAAGGTCATGCTCTTCGCACGCTGGCCCTTGATCTTGCCGCCGACGGTGACCTCGCAACCCTTCGCGCCGGACTCCATGACGTAGCGGATGATGCCCATGGCGGCACGGCGCACCTGCAGGTTGCTCAGCAGCTTGAAGCGCAGAGACTCCACCTGGGCCATGGCGGACAGGCCGCGCACCTCGACGCGCTCGACGTAGAGCTGCAGCTTGCCCTCCTTGTAGTTGAAGCGCTGCTGGATGCAGCCCGTCAGTTCGCGGATGCGGCGACCGTTGACGCCGAGAACCTCGCGGGTCTTGGTCGCCTTGATCACGATCTCCGTGCGGAGCGTGGTGACGTGGTAGGACACACCGGAGAAGCCCTCCTCGGCAAGCTCGCGCTTGAGGAACTCGAAGAGCTCGGCGTAGAACACGCCGTCGCGGATGATCATGCGCTTCTTGGAAAGAGGACCCATGATTGCTGCTCTGGAAGACAGAAGGGAATTTCGTTAACGACGATCCAACTGTGGAGGAGAGCACGGCAAGAAGAAGAAAATGGTGGGTAGATTGCAAAAGATGGTGTGGCGAGCATTTTATTTTGTTTGTTTTTCCAGTCAAGAAACGAGAAATTGAGCAGCAGTAAAAGAAGGTGAGAAAGATGAATTTAGCGGAGGAACGCAGATAACATGAACAGAAACCGGACGAATGCGGAACGCCAAACACACGGTCAGCACTGACTCACCTTTGTTGACCTCCAACAATCTGAGTCGGAGGAGCGCGCTGCAAAACAACAAAAACAACAGATTTACTCCGTAAAAACTTTTCCTCTTACTGTACTGTTGTTTCGGCCCATGATGACGCTTTTGACATGAAAGATGACGGTGGCTGCGGTATGCATAAGCGTAAATTACAACTTAGAAATCTCTTGTCCTTTCTATTATTCTTCAATTCGGTTACTTAATAGCCTTATACAAGCATTAGAAGGCAGATGATACAAGTTCGATGCCAGCGCAAACCAATTTCAGGACACTCAACAGCGAATAAAAAATTCCTACACCCTTTGTCGATACGCAACTCGCGTTCCGAATTTACTCGGCAGGGTACGACAAGATGACGCGGTCCAGCATGGGGTGGCCGGCCGACGTCTTGGGGTGCCGCTCCACCACCGTGAAGCCCAAAGCCACTAACTGCGCCACCTTTTTGTCTACCTCCTCTTCAATGCTGCTCAGCTCCGTCTCGGTCATATTGTCGAAGACGTCGCGCATGGCGCTGATGCGGTGCTGCACCGTGATCAGCTTCGCATTGGTGCGCACCACCAGCTGGTCCTCCTCGCTCGTTGCCCGCTTGTTCGGCTCGGGCGCCACGTCCACCTCGCAGATGCCCTCCGCCTTCACCTTCTCGAGCACCTCGGGGTGGGCGAACTCCTTGAAGACAGCGAGATACATGATACAAAGAGAAAGATAAGAGGAGCAACAGAGGGAGAAACTCAACCAGTTAGAACGATATATCTTGCGAATCAAACGAAGGATGGAAATAAGGATGCAACTGTGTGCGCGCTAAGAATCACGTTCAAGTGAATTGAGAGATGCTCTGTTTGTTGTTTGTTGTTTGTTGTTGTTGAGGAAACGAAAAGGCAGCAGCGAAGGGGAAGGAGGCGACGGCGATGGATCGTTGTGCTTTCGACTACGGGAAGTAGCCTCCGTACGTCGCAAACGAAATGAAAAGAAACGAAAGAACAACACAAGAGGCACGGCACCACAAGACTCAAAACTCGTATGGGTTTTCTTTTCCAAAACCCCTTGTTTAAGTCAACGCAAAACGCATTGTTTCCGTGCACGCACCGCAAGGACGTTCGATGCAGTTCCGCGTATTCTTCTCCTTTGTGTGCGGGTGCAGAAACTCCCGTTGCGCAGGGCAGACACCACTATCTCCCACGCACCTGCATCGGCTGAACGAGAAGCACGACTACCGTCGCTCTTTATATATTTTTCCTTCTTCTCTTTTCATGTTATTCGCAACGAGATAAAATGACGCAATAGAAAAATAATAAGGGAGAATAGGGGTGCGCACAGTGCAATTGAGAAGTGCCACCGTGCTGCAAGCGCACGCACACGGATACAGTTCCTTTTCTTCATGGTGCCTACGATTGGACTGTACGGAGTATCCTTTTCCTGCTTTTCCATATTCATTATCCCCACAACGCTGAAGGAGAAAGAGCAGCGAAAGCAAGGAAAAACATATATATGATGGAGAGGAGGTTAAGTGGGTGGCCAAGGTAGGGCATAAATAGCGCTAAGCATGTAGAGGAACGACCGCCCTCTCCCCCTCACAAAACTGGTTGGGCGGCCAGTTCGATTGTTTCCTGGGCACGGGCCTTAGTCAATATCGGAGAGGTGCTGGTTGTCTGGCTGCCGCTCCGGCGGAGTAGCGCCCACCTCATGTGACAGACGACGCTTATCTGCTGGGCGGCCCGTCGTGCCGGCATCTTGGTGCGGCACACCAGGTGTTTCCTCGCCGCTTGCCGCCGCCGCCGCCGATGTGCCGCCGTTAGCAGCGCCTGCATTATTAGTATTATTGCCGTTGCCGTTGTTCGCCTGCATCTCCTCGCCCGCCTCCTGCTGGTTGCCGGCCTCTGCGTTGTGGTGTTCATGCGGTGCGTCTCCCCCAACAACCACCGAAGCCACCCCACAGCAGACAAGAAAGCTGCCCACCATAAGAACTACCAAAATGGCGCCGACAATGATGAAGAGTGGAATGCACGCCTTGGCCAGGGTGAGAACACCCGCGTATGTGCCGTAGTTGTAGTAGTAGTTGAGCCGCACCGCGATCATCGCCGTGGAGGCCATCAGGAGGCCCACAATGAGGCAACTCGTCACCATGTTCTGCGTAATACCACCGCAGGAGCCTTGCTGGCCAGCGTAGGGGTTCCTGCCGTCCGAAGCGCCATGCGGGTGCGTCGCCGCACCACCTTCGCCGTCGTTGTTGTTCTGCCGCTCGCTCTGTTCCTCGTCTGCGCCGTTGGCCCCGTGGCGGCTGCGACCCGTCGACTCAGTGGAGTAGTGCTGCTGCTCCTCCCCCGCACCGTCCGCACGCAATCCGCCCTGATACTCCCCAGAGCCGCGCATCGGGTTCGACGGGTTGTGCGCCTCCGGCTCCGCTGCCCCGCTCGGCGAGGGTTCCCCGCCATGGGCGGCCTCCTCCGCCGCCTGCGCCGCCGCCCGCACCTCCGGCGGCACATCGCTAATGTAGAGCTCCAAAATGTTAAACACGAGTCGGTTAATGAGGAAGAGGGTGAGGCCGACGAAGATCGGCACGCCAATGACGACGAAGTAGTTCGTCGTAATCGTCTCATCCGCGCGGCACGCGACGAGGGCGAAGAAGACTACCACGCACGCCGCCTCCAAGATGGAGAAGATGAAGCCGATGGGGAGGTAGTTGGCGAGTCGCACAAGACCGATTGACTTCAGCTTCAGAATTCGATTCTGGGTCGGCAGGGCAGAGAAAAAGACGGCGGAGAATACAAATACCGAAAAGAGGTAGCCAGGGATGAGCCACACACGCCACTGCAAATAGTCGGTCCGCCCCTGACGAGCGCGTGACTCGTTGCGATCCTTCGCGATCGGGATCACAATGGTCAGAATGATAGCGCACAGGATGGCCATGAAGACGCAGTGCATCGGCGTATGTTTCGGCATCATTATCACGGTCATAAAAAACAAGAGGAAGACTGGCACACCCACCACGACGTCAACCACAAAGAGTGGCGAGAACACTTTCACGTAGTTCCACGATCGCAGATGACCATCTACGAAAGACACGAGGAACGCAAGGAAGATGAGGATCATCGCCACCGTAATGAAGAGAAGTACCAGCGTGATCAGGATGCTCACCGTGGGGCCGAGAGCCGCGACTGCGCCGCCGGCCACTGGGTTGTCCATCGCATCCAGACCCGCCTCTCCATAGGCGTCGTAGATCGACTTCTTCTGCGGGTCGGAGAGAACCTCGTAGGCGGTGTTGACTTCCTTGAACTTCGCCGCTCCTTCCGGACCGGCTTTGTCGGGGTGGTACCGGAGGGCAAGGCGGTGGTAGCTGCGCTTGATGTCCTCCTGCGAGGCATCGTGATCCACTTCCAGCACGGCGTAGAAGTCGACCATCTTGTGTGTGTGTGTGTGTGTGTGTGTGCTTATGGGTGTTCTATCACGCTGCTGTTGCCTCTACCTTTTCTCTATAGACGGAAGAACAAGCAAACAATGTACGCCGTTTTGCAAGCTGTGCCTCTCCACCTAAACGCAAGAGAGAAAGGGAGGGAAGGGGGCGAGTATGTTGGGTGAGCGGTGATGCAGAAATAAATAAATAAGCGCACTCAGCCGTGATATTGAATAATAAATAAATGTATGAAGGGAAAGGGTACTCTACTGGGTGTCGCTCGTGGATGCGTTCCTTGAGGTGAGCGGAGACAACACAAGGAGAGAAAATCGACAGCGGCGCGCAGAACCACCACTACAAAAAAGCAAGACGAGATGAAAACCACCGCGTCAGCGAAAACTAATATAAATATGAGATGACTGAAAGATACAAATATTGGGGAAAAAAAATAACGATGTAGCTCAGAGGAAACTGCGAAGAAACACAGACACGGCGGAATCTCTTTATATATATATATATATTTCCGCGTGTTGCAACGTGGCGATGGCAACCGCAGACAAATATCGCAAAGCTATGTGATTTTTTTTTAAGACCAGAAAGAAAACAATGGTTCTTTTTGGGTTTTTCGTTGCTGAGGTGGTCAAATACGTGGAGAAAGAGAAAGAAGAGGGAGAGCGAAGAGGAATGTCGTAAAGGTCGGGTACTCACGTTTCCTCATCTCTAAAATGAGATGTGAAGCGGACGGGCTGCCTACTACCAGAAGGGACAGACGAGTCGGATCACCCACTCCAAAAGAAAAAAATGATGGGTAACGGCGCAGCTGCAAGTAAGGTGAGTCCTCTAATAGTGAAGTTTATTCATTTTTTACCCTTTGAATATCGCCCAGCACCGCCGATCCACCAGGCGAACACTGTTTCCTCTTGTGTATGCGTGTGTGCGCGCACTTCCGAGCGGGGACTGGTTAATGCCGAGAATCAATGCTGTGACATCGCGATTTTTTTTTTGGAGAGGGGAGGAGGCTTGTGTCTGCGACGCCGTTGAGCGCGTTATTACTTATAAAAAGTAGTATTAGTGATGATGTGATCAGCTCAAGCAAAAACAATCTTGCCATGCCTTCTTTTCCTTCGTGTTTTATCGCCAACGAAAACCAAATTAAAAAAAGGGACAAAGCGGGTTTCTTTCCAGATATGCAGGCGCAACACGATGTCGCACTCTTCGCAGCCGTTTGAACGCGAATTGCGCTTCAATTCCACATCAGCTGAAAAATGTCAAATCAGCAGAGATCGGAGGAGGAACGGTAATTCTACGTTTTTCGTTCATCACTGCCCAACAGAGCAACAGAAGGAGAGGGGGAGGGGGCGAGCCGTCGTGGCCGCCGTACTCTGCGTTTCGGTGTGTGCGCTCCATTGTTCACTGCTGCATCATTTGCATCATTTTGAGGTACGCCTTTGTCTGGACGTCTTGGATGGCGTGCTCGTTTGAGTCCATTACTATCTGCTGGAGCAGCGGCTCCCACTTGGCACCACAGTGCTGCACACACTGCTTTTCCTCCAGATCCATCTGCAAGCGGTAACGGATCGGCGCCTGTGTGGTGCGCCGCAGTGTGTACAGCTCCTCCGTGTCAAGGCAGCGGTCGAAGCAGAAGCTGGTGTTCCGATACATCAGGGCAGACTGAAAGCGCAGCTCGTTCAGCATCTGGTACGACTGGGTGAGATGCTCCTCGTACGGAGTCATAGGAGTCTGAGGAGGCTGCATGTTGGTAAAAGAGAGCTTTCCGGTTTTCGTTTTTCTAAAGAAAACAAAACAACCGCAAACATACGAGAGGGGAGAACAAACCACGTTGGATGCCCCGACGCGATGAACGGCAACTGTACAAAGCGACGCCATAAAGTAAGTCAAAGCCATTCAGAAACGCACACACATCAAATGAAGGAGAAAAGGGAGGCGAGATGACAAAGTCAGGGAACGTTGCTTCGTTTCGATGGTCGCTTGCCAGAGGACGGAAGGGCGCGACGACCTTCGCACCTTTCTTTCCATTTCTTACGTTCCCATTGGGTAAAAGTACACGAGTACAGTTCGCTTTCCTAAGCGCCACAGTGACGTACATCGAACACAGCAGCCGTGACGAAGACCACGTTACGGGTTGGGTCATCACAAAAAGTAACAGCTAGGGGTTTTTCAGTGTTTGCTTGTTTGTCTTGCTTCGCTGGCGGTGATTTTCGTATCCTTTCCCATTCGTTGACAGCCTTTTTATTCCCCAGCTGAGAACGAGAGGATACTTGAAACTACGCACGTAATGGTTGTGTGTGTGTGTGTGTGTGTGCGTGTGTGTGTGTTTGGAGAATTAAACAGCAATAGTTTTTTTTCCACGTACTTTGCACAGGCGGAGTAAGCAGAACACACACGCACACAAACATAGAGAGAGAAGAAATAGTCCATCGCATTTGATCACGAACGGTTTGACTGCGCATTCGCGTTCAGTACTTCACCCTCACACAGACATACACACGCAAACAGAGAGAAAGAAAGAGCAAATCAAAAAAAAAAGAAATACATCACCTGAGAGTGCTTGAAGGAAGAAAAAGTTGAGAAATGGGAGTGAAGATGAAACAGGCCGTAAAAAGGTGGGTTGGAAATGCTGTGCTTCCGTTTCAATCTTTGCATTCAGCTTCCTGCAATTAAGATGCAAAGACGCGCATCACCAAGTAAGAAGCGCAGAGGCAACAGAAACACCACGATACAAGGTCGTTGGAGGCGCATAAGCGATCGGCGTTGTAACGCCTTACCAGAAGAATCGTTGCCGACACTCGTCCACTTTCCTGTGCGCCTCGACCTGCTGTGGGAAGCAAGTTGTGCAGACCAGTCCCCAAGTGGGCCAAGCTGACGTTTGTGGAAAGCTCATCGTTGCCGGGGGCGTCCTTCAACGTCTGCCGCGGAGCAAAGAGGATATTAGGACCAAACATTGCCACGCCGAAGAGATAAGGTAGAAGGATCTGCGTAGCGTAGAAGGGCACACTGTCCTCGATGGATGGCGGCACCGCAACCATGCCCGGCCGACGCCCAAAGAGGTAGAGGTATACAAATACATGCCCAAATCTCAGCACGTACTTGATGAAGGCCAGCAAATTGTACCGGACAAGATCGCGAGTTCGCTGCGTCACAAAGCCAAGCAGCGACGGGGGGACGACCTCGAATTCCTGCAGCGTGTCGTGCAGCGACACGGGGGACTGCGCCACGGAGTTAGGCGCCGACCGCGCCACCCCGGTCGGGTATGGGGGTAACCGCCTCGCGGCGGTCGGTAGCTCACAGCTACTGAAGGTCTGCTTGGAGGACTGGAGGGTGGAGATGGGGGAGAACATGCGTTCTACCGAGAGCTGATGGCGGTAGCGCCTTCGACGCTCGTGCAGTAGTTCCTGGCGGAGCCTCAACACGCCCCGCATGAGCCGACTGTGTTTGTACAACTCTGAGGCGATGCAGACGGTACCTGCCTCCTTTTCAAGCCGGTCAATTTCGTTTTCGAGGAACATTTCGCGGCGTAGCAGCAGCCGGGGGCCCCACGTACGCTCCCAGTATACGCTGCCCACGTAGCTGATGAAGGTGGTTGTGGCCACCGCCAACGCAAGCCACCGGTCCACGTATTCGCGGTGCGTCAGACTGGGAGAGGAGTCCAGATGGTCCGCCATGGATGCAAAGATATATATTGAAGGCGTGCTCTTTCTTTTCAAGCAATACAGAATTAGAGAAGGAAGGACAGAAAAGGACTTTTCAGAGGTAATTAAAAAAGAAAGAAAAACCGCGAGTACCAGTGTGTAGGTATTGATTTCAACGATTCGGTTTTCTTTCTGCAGACGTTCGTAGTGGATTGACTTCAGACACAAAAAGGAAGCGTTTTCTTCTCAACAAATCTAACGATGTGAGGCTTTAGTACTATATAGGCGTTTTGTGGACGTGTGTCAATATACGTATTGCTTTTTTTTTAAATGACATTTCACTTCGGTGCTTGCTTTCGTGCACCGCTATGTTTGGCTGGCGAGTATGTAAAGGGAGGGGGGGGGGAGAAGAGAAAGACGGAAAAGTAGACCCTCATGCGTGCGCTACACCTTTCAGGACATAACAGCTGAGTAGTAGTGATCGAACGCTGCTTTCCATTTTTTTTTGTGAAGGTACAACGCTCTGCTGCGATGCCTCGGCTTAAACTGCGCATTTGTGCTGCAATGCGCAAGGGAAGGCAGACGGCAAAGAGAAACACGTGCATCTTATGGGCACAGCATTCCGTGTCCCTTGTCTTCACCCAACGGCAAACGGCAAGAGACTTTTCGGCGCGTCGCACATTCAATTTTCCAGCGAGATGTTCGTTGTTGTCGTGTTTTTGCAGGAGAGCCAGCGCTATTTAAGGGGAAAAAAAACACGACAACCAGCTGCACCCCTTTCTCTGCCCGCGTTCAAGCCAAAATGTTGCTGCTCAGTTAAATGAAACTGAAAGATCGACGATGAGCGCAGCCCAAATGGTGTTGTTTTCGATAGGAGAGACGCAAAGGAGAGGTAAAACGGTAGAAGATCACGCGAGAGACCCATTACCTTCGATCCCTCATCGCAAACTGCCCGGTTCAGCAAACAACATCAAAAACGCCGCTGGTTTACCTTTCCAAATTGCCGTTGGTCTCTGCCACACCTCATCTGTGCATGTTCTGCTTTTCCTTCCTTTTAGCGGGACACACATTTTACTTATTACAAAAGAAAAAAAAACCACTGTTCTAAAGATGTGTAGTAATCTATATGTTCTATCAAGAAAAAAAAGAGGAGATTTAGCGTAACTGCATTGGTGCTCAAGGGTTTCTTTGTTGTGCCCCCCCCCTTTCCATAAGTGCAGAGTTGAAGTGGCGGAAGAACACACGCAGAGATGCGGCGGCAAGAACGCAGCAGCTCTCCTGCTGGTGGTTCACACGCGCAAATGCAAATAAGAATAAAGCAAACACCCCTGCTCAGTTCCTGCTTCTGGAGCGTTGACGTGTCTCCTTCACCTCTTTGCGCCTACATCAAATACGCGATGCCGGTGTCGTAGTAGATGAGCTGGCGGTCGTGAAAGCGACGGAGTATCTGCTCGACTAAAGCCACTGCATTCGGCTCGTGGTAGCCGAGCTGAGACAATTTCTTCACCACAATCGCCGCCGTCACCGGGTCGTGCAACTGCACAATAGAAGCCACTTTCCGCTCCAGCATCAGCATCGACCACTCGCCCTCGTTGGCCGAGGCGGCGTACTTCGCCATGTGCGACGGTGCGGCTGCTGCAGCTGCGTTGCGGCCATCCGGACGAGAGAAGACGCGCTCTTGGTAGACCACCTCTCCTCCTTCGTCGTCACCGTATGCGCTGTTGTTGTTGCTGTGATAGTGCTGATTCTGGTAGTAGGGGTTTTCCGGCGTTGTCACCGCCGGTTGGTCTTCCAGCTCCTCGCTAAGGTTCTCGTACTTGAGATAATGATCCACGTCGGCTTCCTCTTCCGTTTTCGCCGCCTTTGTTGCTTGATGAGACCTGGCGGAGGTTGATGGTGCGGTCTGGGTGCTTGACACCGTCTTCTTCTGTGCCTTCACCGCTGTGTTGCTGACGGCGCGCTTCGAGGTGACCGACACAACCACCGCAGCGGGTAAGGTTTTGCTGTTGCCGTTGCCACTGCGAACCATGGAAGAGGTGGTGGTGGTGGTAGTGGGAACCGGACCGGCGTCGCTTGCTTGTGCTGATGCCCTTTTATCTCCGTTCTTCCTGCTAGACGAGGACGGCGAGACGTGCTTCAGCATCGCCACCTCCTGCTCCACCTGCCGCTCAAAGACGGTGTCTCGACTTACACGTTTGCCTAGTTTTTCACACTCGGTGTAGTAGAAGGAGGCGAGGGTGCTGTACAGCCCAATCTTGTTGCGCACTTCGGTTTTGATGCCCACCATCGTGCACAAAATGCGCAGCGCAGGCACGTTCAGGTTTTCTAAGCTCACCCCCACGACGCGGTCCAGGAGGCTGCGGAGGTACGCCGCGATGCACTCCTTCACGACCGCTTCGCTCTCCTCGCCCTCCTCGCCCTCCTTCAACGCCTCTTCTGCTTTTTCGCCATCCCGCGCGTCACCACCCGCTACACCTAAGATTGCTGCTGAGGTAGTAGGGGAGGGCGACCCCGTTGCTGGCTCGCGCGTCGCGTCTGCCACCAACGGTGCGGGTGTCGGTGCACTCGCCTCCACCGCTGAGTGGGTGCGCTTCGCCCCCACCGCGGGTGCAGAGGGCTGCGTCGTCCACGAGGGGGACGGCGCCGGTGACGGGAGAGCAGCGTTGGACGACACCGTCGCCGCGGCACGTTTCAGCTTTGCTGCCTGCGCTGCGGAGTAGGTGGCTCGAATCGCCTTGCACCACTCCCTGCGCTCCGCCAGCGGGGCGGACTGCAAGTTGCGCAGTACGCGGCTGAAGATGCCTTTGCGGATCTCGTCGTGTTCGCTGCGCATCTCCGGCCGCAGCCCGGCAAAGGGGTTCTCCATCTCCGTGAGACCGGCTTGTATTATCTTACGTATATGTATGCTTGCCTATGTAGCGATCATCCACTACCTTTCTACAACTGACTCAAAAAAAAAAAAGAAGAAGAGCGAGGTACGGTGCCGATCAGAATTGGCGCGTTGAAGAGCGCAGCCAAAGTTCTTCTCCTTTTTGGTTTTATTGGTGGTGCTAAGCAGAGCGGCAGGAAACCCGTTGAATGAAGAGCTGCGACGCACAGGTCAAGAATTGCTGCCAGCAAAGAAGTCAAGAATAGTTTTTTGTTTACAGTGATGTTAAGAATGAAGAGCCAATACGAAAGAGAACAACTGCGTGAGCTGGAGTCGCGCCAATGCACTGCTCGAGCCCTGGAAAAGGATGCGGATCAGCTACACCAAACACGCAGTTACATGGCGTAGCGTAAGAAACAACGATGATACAGAAGGGTGAATCTGGAAAAGATCCTTTCAATCGTTAGCGTCAATTTCGGTACGTTGAGCGTTCGAAACGACTGTGAAGGATCGACATAGACGGCATAAAGGAAGGAGAGAAGAGACGTCGGCCACGCACGCACACATCAGCGCACACACGCGTCAACGCCAAGCAACGAAACTTGCGGCTCGTAAGACAGCGTGTCACTCGGGCCAAGGAGCGCAAGGCAAAACCACGAAACGGCAGGCACGATTAGAAACAAACAAACAAAAACGCGAGTATTCAAGGTGTGGCACTCACCACATCTTTTCACCATGCTCTGTCGGCTCTTCTGCCGCTATGCCCGCGAAACGGCGCAGCACCCCCGACATCGACCGAGCGGCGCCGCCTTCCTTCTCGTATACCTCGCCAAAGCGTTGCGACGATTTCTTTGCGATGAACAGCGCCTTGTGCGTCGTCATCTTCGGCTCCTCCCCTGCTTCCCAGATTCGCCTCTCCTCCTCCAAATACGGCTCAAAGTCGCGGTAGACGTAGTCGCGGTAGTCCCTGTAGAAGTCGCGCAACTCGTCGCGGAAGGAGCCGAGCAGCAGCAGCCCCAAGGCGGCAGCGGACAGCATGATCAACAGCACTATCGCGTTGGCTTTCTGCACCCCCTGATCAACAAACGAGAGCACATCACTGCCGTTGGAGTTGACAGGAAAAGGAATGGGTTCCCTCGGCGCGGTCACCGCATCGGACGCTGCAGAGGGAGGAGAAGAGGACGAAACCGAGGTGGGCACCGGTCGCTGCAGAAAATCGCACAGAGGCTGCCAGCCGTCCTCTACGCGGAACACCAGCAAGCGCTCAGACGGCACCAACTCCTTCACGTGCTGCTCAAATAGGTCCAACGCGCCCGCCAGCCGCAGCGTGGCCTGTTGCTGTGCCAGCGGCACGTTTTGCGCCGTCATCGCCGCGGAGGAAGTCGGCAACGGCCGCATGCGACGTCCCTTTCGCAGGTCTGCCGGAGCGATGAGGGCGCGGCGCAGGTCAACCATGTCCAGCAGCATCGTGTGCAGGCAAGAGTCCTGCCACCACCGCGTGCTCTGCTCGCAGCGCGCGGCGAGGGGCCGCAGCCACTGATCCATATCCTTCTCCCAGGCGAGCTTGTCGACCTCCTCCACCAAAACAACGCGGGTGCTGCGCGGACACTCCTTCAAGATCGCCTCAAACGCGATCGTCGCCGGTGGGCCCACGAGCGCGTCGTAGTAGCGTTGCGGCGACGGAGAGGCACCCGTGGGGTGCTGCTGCCTCTTCTTTTCCCCGTGGGTCTTTTCGGGTACGTGGGGTATTTTTAAAATGTCAAAGCTGAAGGGCTTTTCGTGCCGCAGCACGGACATCCACTCCTGCGGGTGAGTGAGCAAGTGGCCTTTGCGCAGCGAATCTTCAAAGGTGTAGGGGCTGTAGCCCAAGATGCGCAATGCGGCTGCCACGGCGCCACCGTTGGGAATCATCGTCAGTACAACGACCTTCAGCGGTGGAGGCGGCAACGCTTGTGGCGCACTGGCACTGGTGGGTGCCACTCGCAGCACCGCCCCCAGACGCAGCATCTTCAGGGGATGTAAAAAGTGGATTCCTTCGGATTTTCTGCTCTGTGTTGCTCACCTACTCTTGTCCGTGTTCGGGTGGGGCGTGATCAACAACGGGGAAGGGGGGGGGAGGGGAACGAGGACAGATAGAAAAAGGTACAGTAAGTGATGCAGGCAGTACAGAGATGAGGGGATGGGAGCGTCGTTGCGCAGGCGGTGCGAAACAACACACGCGGCGATCACAAAAGTATGCGATGCTGAACGAAAGAAGGCGCACCGGTGACGTGCTCCCTTCGTCGTGAAACGACCGCTAAGCGTAGCTTTACCAAGGTGCGCGTTGAGTACTAGTGCAAACCCGATCTTTATTCTCACCGCTGTCTGTCAAACCGTGAATCATCGAATGTGTCTTGCGCTTTACGTTGCCATCATCAATTGCTTTTCCGGTTGTACCTCATGAGAAGACGTGACGTGACGTGGAACTTGAGAATCGGAAAACGACAACAGCACCGTTGCTGTGACACCTGCCGGTGTTGCGTAGCCAACGGCGCAGTGCCTTCTCTTTTGCTTTTCCCCTCTCTCGAGCGACTCCGAGAGGAGGCACGCTACGAGATTGCTTGCCACGAGCCGAGCAGTGAGCAGGCGTCAAGCCCTGGCGTGGGCACGTAAAGCGACGAAGGCTGTTCAACGGCAGCGCCACGGTAGTACCTCACTACCTTTGACATATACGCCTCATTCACCTTCCCCACCTCGGCCAAGGACGCTTTTGTGCGTTCGTTCGAAGTAGACGCGGTCGTGCTCACGGTTGCAGCTGTTGTCCGCCGTCGCTCCTCCTCCTCCCTCATCCTCGCTACCTGAGACGGCGCTAACAGGTAAAAAGGGTACGCCCTTCGTCGCAAGCGAATCCGCACTTCGCCACGTGTGTCATCGTCCGCCACACTGTCGTGCTCGGACCCCTCCGCCCCATCCACGGAAGAGGAAGAAGATCGATGGTCACCGGCGTCGGGGAGCCCGGCCGCGGTGGTGGTGGCCGCGCGCTGCATTACGCAGCCACCGCGTCGCGCCCCTTGCGCACCCTCGTCGCGAAGGAGACGGTAGTCGCGCAGCAGGCGCCGTCGCTCTCGCACCTGCACCTCTGCAGGCAATTGTGTTAAGGCAACCCGCAGCGCCGTGTTAAGATCATTGGGCAGCCACGTGCGGCATTCCTCTTCCTCCGCCACGACAGAAGTCGTGTTCGGCGGTGGCTGGGGAAATTGGTGGCCCTCACGCAGCAGCCGCGCTACTTCGGTGTGCATGACGGGCTGGAGAGGCATCCACACGGGCACGACCGGGGGAAGGGGCGCTGCGATGGCCATGATCACGCCGCCTGGGTTCTCCGCTGTCGGCCGCACCGCAGCGGTGTAGGCACCCGTCCACGCCCGTACAGCCGCAGCGTTGTAGGTGGGTAACGTCCAAATGAGAGAGGCGTGTGTAAGGTCCGCGAGGATGGCACGCACGCATGCCCAGTATCCACTGCAGGAGCACCACGCGTTGTCTTCTGACAGGGAAGCGGCTTTCGGCGCTACTTCGCCTGAATTGCGTTCTTGCCGAGTGTCCGTAGAGTCGGAAGAACGGGATGCGTTGGGCAACACGGCCACGTCGTCTCGTGGTGTGTGTTCGTACATGCACCGCTGCATCTCCGTCATCATGTCCTCGACACTGGCGCTCGTGGCTGCGGTATCATTGGCCTGCCGTAGCAACTCCTCCAACTCCGCCGCTTCCCTTTCCAGCTCTTCGTCACCTCCGCTCATTTCTGAGGTGGATGGGGGAGGCGCATTGCTCCCTCCACTGGTGCCTGCTGCGGCGTCGTGGGGAAGGGTATGCTGCATGAACTGGCCGACCTTCTGCAGGAGACGCTGGCGCGGCGTGAGTGCACACGGGGAGTCGGGGGTGCCCTGTTTGGCGATAGACTTCTCAATGAGAGCGCGCAGGTGGTCCGGTGGGGTGTCGAGAAGCAGTGGCGCTGCTTCTTCTGATAGGGACCGGACGTGCGATGTTGTGTGGCCGGGTGCCGCCTCTTTTGTGCGCCGCCACGCCGCCTCTGCGTTGGTTAAAACTGCCTTGGAGGAGGAAGAGGAAGAAGAGGTCCAACCACCTCTGTCCGCTTCACTCGACTCTTTGCCCTGATGACGGCGCACAGCATCCACCACACCACTCGACATGCCCACGCCCACGCCTCGACTCGTCATCGGATTCTCACGCATGAACACGCGATGCTGCCGGGCATTGTACGAGGGGGTGGGGGAGTTTCCCGCTTCCGCCTCTTCCGCCTCTTCCTCCTCTGCCCTCTCTTCCTCTCCGTGTGTATTTATCGCCGGGATGCCGCTGATGCTACCGCCCAGCGTGGATGCAGGTTTGAAGCGGCAAAAGGCCTGACGGGCCTCATCAGCGGAGATGCCCACGCTGCTGGGGCTCTGCCGCGTGGCCTGCGCCCGTTCGGCACCAGGCATCGGCGCCGTCACATCCACCACCAACGACTTCTCCAAACCCTCAAACAACTTCGCCTCCGTCAGGGCCCACGAAAAGAGGACGTGGAAAGGAACGAGATCGTGTCGGCGCAGGTGGCGCAGGGACGGTCCGAGGGTGGGGTGCCGACAGAGCACCGGCCACGGAGTGCAGAGAAGAGGAAGGCGACACCACGCCGCATCTACGGCTCCGCTATCGTGCAAGGGAGAGGACACCTGCGCGTTCCGTTCGGCTCCTCTGCCCCCTCGCTGCTCACTGGATCGGCTGCTGCTGCTGCGGCGACCACCACCTCGACAACGAATATCAGATGAACATGTCTGAAAAGGGCTGTAGAGTTGATGCGTCGAGGGTAGTTCGAAGGACACGCTGCGCCACCCACTCCGCACGAGTAGGCTTGCAAGATCGCCGAGGAACTGCTGCGTCACGAGGAGCCGCGTGGGCAGCTGCAGAATGAGGGGCACCTGTGGGAGCAGCTGCTGTCCGACCTCACGCAATCCTTCGAGAGCGTGGCGGAAGGTTTGCTGTGCATCCGCCCCGCTGCCCCACGGCTCCTCCATCGCAAGGATTGCCTCCAACGGCTGTTCATGCGGTGCGGCGGGTCGGCGACGTCCCCGGGGAGATTTGGACGGCGACACATTATCATTAACAAGGTCCGCTCCTCCTGCTGCACCGGGAATTTGCAAGAAAGTGGTAGGCAGCTGCGCGACAGTGAGATCTGGAAACAGTCGCAGTGACGCACAAACCGGCGGCCGCGCTGGCGAAGCCGTGGAGGCAGCTGAGCGCGTGCTTTGCAAGCTGGAGCTGCTGAGCTGGGCAAGGTACGCTTCGATGGGAGACCAAATACTCGCGTAGCGGCCCCTCGTTGTCAAACCAGAGTGACGACCTGCGTGTCCCTGCCCGTCTTCGCTGCTATAAGAGGGGGAGTGGAGTGCGGCACCCCAGACGCACAGCGGCGGCAACGTAAACGTCAGCCCCGCAGCACCACCGCCGCTACCCGCACCGCTCTTGAAGGAGGACTTTGCCGCCTGCAACGCTTCCTGCGCGGAGAGAAAGGTGTGTGAATGCAGCGCCGTTTTGCTTGTCGGAGGCAAAGTGGAGGCATGGCGCGCAGTGGTCGACGTGCACGGTACCTTTCTATTTTTTGCGACGGCAGCTCGAGGCCACCTTTCAAGGAATCGAACGGAGCTGCTTGCTGAATGCATGGGATGAGCTGATTACCTCGGCGTAGCTTCGCAGTCATTTACACAGACTTCAACACCGGCTGAAGGGCAGCTTCCTCGTTGCCGACCGGAGAGCGTAGCGCCGGAGCGGATAACCAAAGCAGAGGACCCCCCCCCCCGAGAGGAAAACAGCACCGACCCCAAAAGATGCAGATGAGACAAACAAGAAAAGAAATTACGCAAGAACAAAGCGCGCATGCCAGCACAAAATGCCACGTTCGATTATACGGTAAAGAGGAGCGGGAGGACGCACTCTCCTTCTCCTCTTTTCCCTTTCACACCGATAAGTCTTCATGACCATCATCATCATCTGTAGTCGATAGACAACAACAAAAAGAAAGGCACAAGCCTCTCCAGAAAAAAAATAGTACAGGCAACGAGCAGACCTGCTGTTGATTTCTGTTTCCGTGGGAGTGCATCCGTTGATGGCCCCTGGTCATTCTGCATTGATCCGCTTTGCTTGTTAAAGGCGTGCTGAACACTGAAACGTGCATCTGTGAAGTGCCACATTAAGATAAAAGTCTTACAGAGAGTCAACAACAAAAACAAATAGGAAGGGAAACGGTAGCACAAGCACACAGTGAACCAAAACAGCAGAAAGCAGCTGAGTTGGCAACTGTAATGAATGTGCCCTCGTACCCCTCCTTACTTGATTCCGATGTGGCGATCTTTGGGAGAGTGTCCGCGCAGCAACCGCGGGCCGCTTTTCGACACCTCTACCTGCCGCTTTGACGCCTTCAGAGACTGCGCAAACTCGAAGCGTGCCTTGAGCGCCGTCAACCGCCGCTGCGCGGAAGAGTGCGCTTTCACCTCGGGCGACGAAGAAGGTGGCATAAGTGGGTCATTGCCCGTCGTGCGGCGCTGACGGGAGTCTGTTCTGTTTTCGCGGGCATCCTTGCCTTCACCACGAGACTGGGAGCCGACGATGTGCTGCGCAAGTAGCTGACGCCGCAGTGCGTGACCGTCGATTGGCTTTTCATGACCTTCGCCCTCCCCCGAGGAGTGGAGCTTGGAGCGGAGCTGTTGCAGCCACTCGTCTGTATTACCTTGCAGAGGAACTGAAGACGACATTTCCGCGTTATGGGAGTCTTCCGCCACTCCCGTAGAGGATGCTGCACTACCGCTATCCGACGACGACGACGAGCCACCCAGCAGCACCGCTCCGCGATCCCCTCTTCCCTTGTCTTGGTTCGTGCTCGATGTCGCGTACTCGGTGAGCTGCACCGCCTCCGACAGGGTTCGCATTTGCGCCGTTTCCACGGTGGCAAAGAGCACCTCGATGCGGTAGTCACTCGACACACGCGTCGCGTATTCGAAGGCGTGAAAGGGCTGCTGGGTCTGCTTGTAGCCCATCGCGTACTCACTCAAGCACGGCTCCGTCACCACAAATAGACTGCGTGGGGTGAGGTGCAGTCGGGGGTACCACGGCGCGTCCTTGTGCTGCAGGCGCAACACGGTTGTGGAGACGAGGTTCAAAAGGCCGACGTAGGACCCGATGGAGCGGGGGTGGCGGTGCACCGGGTAGCCGCTGAAGTTGCCCACCATCTCACTCACCTGACACACGTTTGGCACGGCGGGGATGAGACCGAGAAAGAAGAGGCGGTACAGCACACGCTGAAGCGTGGGGCAGCTGGACAGCGCAAAGGCGAGCGTGTCCTTGCCGGGTATGCCGAGTTCTTTCTCATAGAGATTGACGCAGTACCGCGCCTCTTCGGCGATGTACGCAGCACGGGAGCTTTGCAGTAAGCGCAGCAGCTCCTCACTCACCACCGCCTCCTCTGCACGCGAAATCATGCCTTGGTAGCCCACAAGCCCATCGACGTACATCTTGCGCAGTGCGTAGGTGCTGCGAGGCTGGCCCACACTCTCCTCCGTGGGGGCAAGCAGCTCACCTTCCAGAGCGGTAGAGTAGAAGCCCTCGTCGTGCTGACGGCGGCGGCGGCGGTCGTCCAGCACCTCTGCTGCTGTATCTGTCTCCCCAGTAGCACCGTCGCCGGTTTCGCTCTGTGCGTTGGGGGCAGCCGCCGACTCCCCGAGAAGGTCGCCAAGACCCGCCCCACCTCGGCCGTGCCGCATCGCTACGCCCCACGAGCTGGTTCGCTGCCGCGACTCGAGGTCGCCTGTGCCGTACATCGTGTTGTACAGGGCTGACTCTTTCGGGATGGTTGTCCACCCCGCCTGGCCGTGGTAGTGCTCCGCGGGCAGTCCATTCATCTCAATGTCCGCCTCCCCTCCCTCCGTGAACTCCACCGCAGAGGCGGCGTTGGCTTCGAGCGACGCGCGAAGTTGCTCCTGCCGCTCCTCACGAGAGGGCCGCGGCGCGTCGAGGGTGTGCTCGTCGAGGCCGTCGTAAAAACCGTACTCGCGTGGCAGCGGGGTGAAGTACGACCCGGCCACGTCAGCCCTCGCAAACGACCCGGCGTCGTCACGCCCCCTCTCCGCCCTTTGCCGGTGATAGGCTTGGCGCTGAGAAGTGTAGCCCCCGCTGCCTGTCTGAGCGGGCTTGGACGTCTGTGCTTTGCTGTCCTCGTGAGGTGGCGGCAGTGGCTCTCCCGGTCGCAGCGTGCGGCTCACCTGACGGCGACGATGCTGATAGCCGGCCAGGCGGCGTGGAGAGGTGGCACCTTCGGTGTGTGCTGCAGGTGGCTCCGCGGCGTTGTCCTGCATTCCATTTCGAAGGCCGTCTCCGCTTCGTCGGAACCGCGCAGAGGACGGGGCGCCCTGCGCGACACGCCTTGGCTCGGCAGCACCAAGAGGTGTGCGGGGGATGTGGAAGAGAAAACGCCGAGTGTAGCGCAGCATTAACAGAGACGGCAATGCTATTCTTTTTCTTTATGGTTTTCGCACTCAGCGAGTGACCGTGTTGTCGGATTGAGTGGCTTCTGAGTGTGTGCCTGCTTGTCGACTTGCGAGAGGGTTTGCGGACATTCCTTGTTTGCGCCGCAAGACGAAGCAACTGCACACGCAGGGAGCGCCAAAGAGTTCTACGTGCTTGCACAAAAGATGTATGAATAGGAGAGAGAGCGCGCATCGTACGAGAAGAACGGAAAGTGAGAAAAATAGGGGAGAGGTGAGAAACCACTGTACAAGCAGGCACATTCACACGTTCCTCCCACTCTGCCAACATATGCAACGGGTACTTTCAGATTTGCTCACACGATGCTGCCGTTTGCAATCAACGTATCCAACGTGCACACGATGAGTTCAAAGGTGAGAAAGGTTCACTGCATCGCTAGGCGATTCATTGTACTCAATATATATAGAAAAGAGCGCCAATTCACAATACTACGAGAGTTCTTCGTTGTGAAGTAGACGAGGGAAAAAAAAAGAAGGTATACGTTGAGGCCGAACGGTCGGTGCAACCTCTCCTTGACAGAGTGCAGTACAAAACACGGTTAATCACCCCCCGTTGGCGCACGATAGCATAAAATGATTAAAAAAAGGCAGAAGGAAAAGAAGGGAACGGAACGGAGGAGGAAGCCTACGTCAAACAATCAAACTCGCAACCTTCAACCGCGTAGCCGAGTGCTACGCACCGGCGAGAAAGAAAGAGCGTATAGCGTTCAAGTAAATGGATTTAAGGTAATAATTGTAATCGTAAGTTCGTATGTAAGTATGTAAGTATACCCGGAGCAGCACGGATGACGCGATGCCCATCCGGTGGCCGCATTTGCACGCACACACGTACACACACACACACACACAGAAAAGGTACCCTCACTTACACAAAAAGGCAGGACAAAAGGAAAGAGGAAGAGGAAAAATCACTGCTGAATTGTTGCCGTGAACGCCGCTTGCTGTCGTGCAGCACACACTACTTGCAGATTTCTGCGCAGCGTTGTCCGTCCCACTTCGGCGCGTTCGTAACCACCGTTGGCATCAATAACGTATACCCTTGAGAGAGCAAAGAGAGGAGGGGGGGGGGTGTAAGAGAAGAAAACGCGAAACACACCTTCATCGATCATTTGTATATAGATATGTGTGTGGGTGAGTTGGTCGGTGCGTACAGGTGTATATATATCTACAGACGAATGGCCACACCGTGCGACTGCAGAATAGCGAGTTTGGCGTCCAGCTTCTTTGTGAAGTTGCAGCCTCCCACGGTGTGCAATTTCGATAGCACCGGAGTAGGACCTGCCGTGGCGGCGGTTTCGAACTCCTTGTTCGAGCTTTGCCCAGTGCACAGCACGACCGAGTCCACCTCCAGTGCGTGTTCCTTGCCTTCGCCGTCTGCGTAGACGAGCGTCTTGCCGTCAAAGCTCTTGTACGTTACACCCCCGACCGTCTTTACCTTGTTCATGCGAATTTCAAGGCGGTGAATCCACCCGGTGGAGACGCCGAGGTGGGCGCCGTGCTTGCCGCGGCTGCGCTGAAACAGCGTCACCTGCCGGAATGGCGGTCGAATGACGGGCCGAGCGAGGCCGCCAGCGGGCGTCTGCGACGGCGTATCAGCGGCCTGAAAAATGCCCCACTTTTCCTTAAACTCGGACGGGCTCTGCTTTTCGTATTTAGTCAGCTGCGCCGCCTCGACGGTCGCGGCAGAGGTGCTGTGCGGGGATGTCAAAAACTCCGCCATGTCAAAGCCAATCCCGCCCGCGCCGATGACCGCGACTCGCCGTCCCACCTTCTCCGGGTGCATCAACGCCTCCACGTAGTTGAACACGTTTGGATACTGCTCCACACCGGGCAGGATCGCCTCTGACTTGGGGTGTGGCTCGCAGCCCGTCGCCACAATCACCTCGTCAAAGCCCGCGGCAGCTATATCGGCCGCAGTGGCCTTCGTGTTGAGCTTTAACGTGACGTTCGGGTGCTTCTGCAGGGAGTTGGTCCAGTAGTCGACGCTGCTCTGGAATTCCTCTTTGCCAGGGATGCGCTTTCCCAGGTTGAACTGCCCGCCAAGGATGGCTTTCGCCTCGTAGAGTGTCACGTGGTGGCCGCGGTCGGCGAGGGTGATGGCCGCTGACGCACCGGCTGGCCCACCGCCCACCACGGCGATCTTCTTTGGCGTCATTGTCGGCAAGGCCGCCCGCTCCTCCTCGTGCGCCGCCATCGGGTTCAGCATGCACGACGCGACCTTCCCCGAGAAGATGTTGTCCAGGCACGCTTCATTGCAGCCGATGCACACGTTGATGTGGTCGCTCATGCCGGACATGACCTTCTCCATAAAGAAGGCATCGCTGAGAAAAGGACGGGCCATGGCCACCATGTCCGCATCGCCGTCCTCCAGCACCTGCTCCAAGATGTCGGGGTGGTTCATGCGATTTACCGCCACGAGGGGGATGCCGATTCCACGGCTTCGCAGGTGCGTGCGTGTCGCCCGCGTAGCCCAGACGTAGCCCGCCCGCGGCACCGACGTGGCGATGGTCGGGACACGGGCCTCGTGCCAGCCGATGCCGCTGTTGATGATGTTGGCGCCGTCCTTGGCGACGCGCTCGGCCAACGCGAACACCTCCGCCTGAGTCGACCCGTCCGGCACGAGGTCCAGCAGAGAGACGCGAAACATGATAATGAAGTTCGGCCCGGTTGCGGAACGCACGGCACGCAGCACCTCCAGCGGAAAGCGAATACGATTCTCAAAGCTGCCGCCGTAGTCATCCGTGCGATGGTTGGTGTGGCGCGCCACAAACTGGTTCAAGAGGTAGCCCTCCGAGCCCATGATCTCGACGCCGTCGAAGCCGGCCTGCTGAGCGTTGCGGGCAAGCCGCGCAAAGTCGTCCACGGTCCGCTGGATGAGTGACACACTCATCTCCATTGGAACCTGCAGGGTCTGAGAAATGGGGCTCATGATAGGTGACGGTGCCACACAGCAGTCGCCGCCGTTAGCGTACCGACCAGGGTGCAGCAGCTGCATTAAAATGTGGCCGCCCTCCTCGTGCACCGCGTCTGGTACACACCGCAACGCATCCAACTCGCTCGCCTGCAGTGGGCGTTCGCCGGTGTTCAGCTCGCCCTCCACGCTTGGCGAGAACCCCCCGGTAATGATGAGCCCCGCCTTTCCCTTGGCGCGATCGCGGTAGAAGCGGGCGAGACGAGCGTAGGGGTTTTTGTTGGAGCTCTGTGTGGAACCGCCGGCGTGGATTGGAGATTCCAGGCCCGTGTGTATGCTGCCCATCACCACGCGGTTGCGCAGCTTCACGAAGCCAAGGTCGAGCGGCTCGAGGATCTTTGCATACGACTTCATTTCAAAGGCAAAGAGAAGAGATGCGCCTTTAAGAAAAAGGTTCAGTCCAGCAGCGACAGCGCTCGCGGCAGTGACGGCGTCAGGCAACTCGAAATAAACAAAAAAGCAAGCAGCCGTAAAGGAGAAGCGCTTCGCTAGGACGGTCAACACCTGTGAAGAAGTAATGAAAGAGAGAGCCTCACAAGCAGAAGATAAAAAACAGCACCAGTCGGCAACGCAGCTTTGAGACGACGCAGGTGAAGACAGAGGAAGAACGATAACAGTACAAGACAAGTACATCAAAGGAAACGTCCGATTTCTTGTTCTCTCTCTCTCTCTCTCTTTCCAGAGAGGAAGAAGCGAAGGGAGGACTGCATGGGGACATGCACTGCGAAGTGAGTGTCTCCTCCACTTCCCGCCTTTCAAAACATCTCGTTACCCAACGCACGCTGAAAACACAACACAAGACCGCGCCTAAAAGGACAAACAGGCGGGCGGTAACAACAACAAAAAAACCGTAGAGTTGAATCGGCTACTACCTTCACACAGCGTGAGCGTTCGGTGCAGCACAATGTTCATGATACTTTTCCCAGTTCCTTGTGGTATAACAATACCTTTTCTTTTTGCTCTTACATCGCTCAGACAGATTCGATTTTGATACATTTTGGACTTACACTGATTATCCTTCTGAAATGAGGGGATGAAAAAAGAAATGCTGCGTGGTGGCACGTTTGTCTCTCTCCCGTGAACCTACAACCCCAACTGATTTGAAGGAAAAAAAAAACATAAAAACATAAATTTGTCTATCGAACGTTGCAACGTTGCGTCAAACAATGCGTGTATGAATTGTTTGTTGGAACACAGCTAAACAAAAGGGTACTGTTGATATTTTATGAGAATTGAGCCCAGCTGTCATTCAGCAACTTCGTTGATACTTGCTTGAAAATGTATGTTCTCCGTACCAAAGACATTGCGTTGGCGCTCCATCTCTCCCCCCCCCTCTCGCTCTCCATCGCAGGGAGGGGAAAGATCGATAGCGCAACGACGGCGTCCAATTGATATGAAACAAAAAAAAACACAAAAGAGATACAGCGTTACAACAGAGAGGAAAGCTCGATAGCACGTGCCTTTGAGAGAAATGCACCGTCTCCCACAAAACAAAAGAAACACAGTGTGTTGCGTAGCGCCTATTTCGCACAATCACAGATACAGAGTTATCGTTTCCTTTTACATCCACCCCGAACAGTGACTCACTCTACCGCTCTCTAGTAGGCCTCCTCCTCCTCGTCGAACTCGCCCTCCTCCTCCACGGTGGCGTCCTGGTACTGCTGGTACTCGGACACGAGATCGTTCATGTTGGACTCCGCCTCCGTGAACTCCATCTCGTCCATGCCCTCGCCGGTGTACCAGTGGAGGAAGGCCTTGCGGCGGAACATGCCCGTGAACTGCTCGCCGACGCGGCGGAACATCTCCTGGATGCAGGTGTTGTTGCCGATGAACGTCACCGACATCTTCAGGCCCTTCGGCGGGATATCGCAGATGGACGACTTTATGTTGTTCGGGATCCACTCGATGAAGTAGCTCGAGTTCTTGTTTTGCACGTTCAGCATCTGCTCGTCCACCTCCTTGGTCGACATGCGGCCGCGGAACAGGGCGGACGCCGTCAGGTAGCGGCCGTGGCGCGGGTCGGCGGCCTGCATCATGTTCTTCGCGTCGAACATCTGCTGCGTCAGCTCCGCGACGGACAGGCCGCGGTACTGCTGCGAGCCGCGGCTCGTCAGCGGCGCGAAGCCCATCATGAAGAAGTGCAGACGCGGGAACGGCACCAGGTTCACCGCCAGCTTGCGCAGGTCGGAGTTCAGCTGGCCGGGGAAGCGCAGGCAGCACGTCACGCCCGACATCACAGCAGCCACCAGGTGGTTCAGGTCGCCGAACGTCGGCGTCGTCAGCTTCAGCGTGCGGAAGCAAATGTCGTACAAGGCCTCGTTATCAATGCACATCGACTCGTCGGAGTTCTCCACCAGCTGGTGCACCGACAGCGTTGTGTTGTACGGCTCCACCACCGTGTCCGACACGCGCGGCGACGGGATGACGGAGAAGGTCATCATGATGCGGTCCGGGTACTCCTCGCGCAGCTTCGAGATCAGCAGCGTACCCATGCCAGAGCCCGTGCCACCGCCGAGGGAGTGCGACAGCTGGAAGCCCTGCAGGCAGTCGCAGCTCTCCGCCTCCTTGCGGCACACGTCCAGCACGGAGTCGATCAGCTCCGCACCCTCCGTGTAGTGGCCCTTGGCCCAGTTGTTGCCGGCGCCGGACTGACCAAAGATAAAGTTGTCCGGGCGGAACAGCTGGCCGTACGGACCAGCGCGGACGGAGTCCATCGTGCCCGGCTCCAGGTCCATCAGCACCGCGCGAGGCACGTAGCGACCGCCGGTCGACTCATCAAAGTACACGTTGATGCGCTCCAGCTGCAGATCCGAGTCGCCCTGGTAGGAACCAGTCGGATCAACACCGTGTTCGTCAGAAATTACCTCCCAGAACTTCGAGCCAATCTGGTTGCCACACTGGCCCGCCTGGCAGGAAACGATCTCACGCATTTTGAAAAAGCTGTAGTGAAGCGGTTCGGTAGAAAACGGGAAACCCTAGACTTAACTTTTCGTTTTGGCGGCAGCGTTTTGGCGGCGGTTTGTACGGCGGTTAACGCAAGAGATACAAAAGGAAAAGACGAGGGGAGAAGAGTCAGATGAGCGGCGGAGTGGTTTGTTTGCTTTTTGGAACGAGAAAAGATGCACAGCACGGAGTCGAGCATCACCGCAGTGGTGAGCGGGAATGCTCGCTTCTCGCTGTGGCCCCTCGAGAACATCCGTCGTGCAGCACTCACGTGCTTCTTTTCGGGCCGCGTCAACGGAGGGAGACGAGTTTTCTTCGTGGGTTGTAAACTTCGGTTTTCAGAAAAGTTCAGCGTGTAGGTGTGCTCGCGTAGAAGCGAAAGAAAAAAAGGAAAGGGCGCGCAGGCACACCTTTCACTCCCACGCACTGAAAAGAAAGAAAAAAAAAATACATACTCACTGACGCAACGCAGACAATGTGGCGGTGGCCCACGGAACTCTTGCAAGGAGGAGGTGAAAACAGGGGTCGATGCGTGTGCGGTGTCAGAGTTTCGCCCACCAAACGAGTATTGCGGGCGAGAAAGAAATGGAAAAGAAAAACCAATGTTCTGTTCGGTACAGCGAAAAACAAAAATACCAGAAAAAGAGAAGCGAGAAAAGAAACGGGAGGGAAGGAGGCGGCGCTCGCGGGGAGAAATACGAAGACGAAACGCCTCGACGCAAACCGTACTTCCCCTCACGCGCGCGCACACGCTGGCACACGCCCTTCCACTCTCTAGTAGGCCTCCTCCTCCTCGTCGAACTCGCCCTCCTCCTCCACGGTGGCGTCCTGGTACTGCTGGTACTCGGACACGAGATCGTTCATGTTGGACTCCGCCTCCGTGAACTCCATCTCGTCCATGCCCTCGCCGGTGTACCAGTGGAGGAAGGCCTTGCGGCGGAACATGCCCGTGAACTGCTCGCCGACGCGGCGGAACATCTCCTGGATGCAGGTGTTGTTGCCGATGAACGTCACCGACATCTTCAGGCCCTTCGGCGGGATATCGCAGATGGACGACTTTATGTTGTTCGGGATCCACTCGATGAAGTAGCTCGAGTTCTTGTTTTGCACGTTCAGCATCTGCTCGTCCACCTCCTTGGTCGACATGCGGCCGCGGAACAGGGCGGACGCCGTCAGGTAGCGGCCGTGGCGCGGGTCGGCGGCCTGCATCATGTTCTTCGCGTCGAACATCTGCTGCGTCAGCTCCGCGACGGACAGGCCGCGGTACTGCTGCGAGCCGCGGCTCGTCAGCGGCGCGAAGCCCATCATGAAGAAGTGCAGACGCGGGAACGGCACCAGGTTCACCGCCAGCTTGCGCAGGTCGGAGTTCAGCTGGCCGGGGAAGCGCAGGCAGCACGTCACGCCCGACATCACAGCAGCCACCAGGTGGTTCAGGTCGCCGAACGTCGGCGTCGTCAGCTTCAGCGTGCGGAAGCAAATGTCGTACAAGGCCTCGTTATCAATGCACATCGACTCGTCGGAGTTCTCCACCAGCTGGTGCACCGACAGCGTTGTGTTGTACGGCTCCACCACCGTGTCCGACACGCGCGGCGACGGGATGACGGAGAAGGTCATCATGATGCGGTCCGGGTACTCCTCGCGCAGCTTCGAGATCAGCAGCGTACCCATGCCAGAGCCCGTGCCACCGCCGAGGGAGTGCGACAGCTGGAAGCCCTGCAGGCAGTCGCAGCTCTCCGCCTCCTTGCGGCACACGTCCAGCACGGAGTCGATCAGCTCCGCACCCTCCGTGTAGTGGCCCTTGGCCCAGTTGTTGCCGGCGCCGGACTGACCAAAGATAAAGTTGTCCGGGCGGAACAGCTGGCCGTACGGACCAGCGCGGACGGAGTCCATCGTGCCCGGCTCCAGGTCCATCAGCACCGCGCGAGGCACGTAGCGACCGCCGGTCGACTCATCAAAGTACACGTTGATGCGCTCCAGCTGCAGATCCGAGTCGCCCTGGTAGGAACCAGTCGGATCAACACCGTGTTCGTCAGAAATTACCTCCCAGAACTTCGAGCCAATCTGGTTGCCACACTGGCCCGCCTGGCAGGAAACGATCTCACGCATTTTGAAAAAGCTGTAGTGAAGCGGTTCGGTAGAAAACGGGAAACCCTAGACTTAACTTTTCGTTTTGGCGGCAGCGTTTTGGCGGCGGTTTGTACGGCGGTTAACGCAAGAGATACAAAAGGAAAAGACGAGGGGAGAAGAGTCAGATGAGCGGCGGAGTGGTTTGTTTGCTTTTTGGAACGAGAAAAGATGCACAGCACGGAGTCGAGCATCACCGCAGTGGTGAGCGGGAATGCTCGCTTCTCGCTGTGGCCCCTCGAGAACATCCGTCGTGCAGCACTCACGTGCTTCTTTTCGGGCCGCGTCAACGGAGGGAGACGAGTTTTCTTCGTGGGTTGTAAACTTCGGTTTTCAGAAAAGTTCAGCGTGTAGGTGTGCTCGCGTAGAAGCGAAAGAAAAAAAGGAAAGGGCGCGCAGGCACACCTTTCACTCCCACGCACTGAAAAGAAAGAAAAAAAAAATACATACTCACTGACGCAACGCAGACAATGTGGCGGTGGCCCACGGAACTCTTGCAAGGAGGAGG